GGTCACCCACTCCCCCGTGCGCCCTTCCGAGATTCATAGGTGCCCGCTTAAAGCACTTGCCCCAACAGGTTCGCTAAGGCTATACGGGGGATCTTTATCTACATATATGAAAAGAGCGTGTGTGTGTGTATGTGTGCGTTTGAGAATATGTCTGAGCGGTGTTTATGTTTGAGTGTAAGTGTGTGTGTGTGCGCACATTCCTCTATGAGTACCCACTTACACACACTCAAGTGCGGGCGGGGGAGCGCGTGAGACCGAACTCTTTCTCTCCAGACGGGGCTGCGTGTGTGTACCTGTGTGTGTGTCCACGTGTGTTTCTTAGTGTGTGTGTGTCTGTATGTATGCGTGTGTTTCTTTGTGCGCGCGTGTGTGCCTGGCACGATGGTTGTTAGCGCCACGCGCTACAAACCCGGCGACCTGAGTTCAATTCCCCGCTCACGAGCATCACAAAGAGTGGCGAATAATTAATTGGAACCGGTCATGGCCTCCTCTAGGTCGACTCAGCCTCAAATGAGTACCAGGTGCGGTAACATCGCCACCAGGGAGACAAAGGCGGCCGGGCGTGGTGCTGGTCACCCACCCTGCACGTGTGCCGTGCCGGACTTCATAGGTGCTCGCTAACAGCACTTGCCCCGAAAAGTATGTTAAGGCTATACGGGGGGGTTCTTTAAATTAACTTTTAATGCACGGGTGTATGTAAGGTTTTGCACATGTGTGCACCAGTGTATTTATCTGAGTGCCCGCCTTAATAGGTGCTCGCTCGCATCTATAACTAAACGAGGGACCTTGCGCAGTTACCACAGTGAATGTACCGGGCGTGTGCATAGATCTCTCCGATGCTCACACATCGAGCCATGGTTATTCGACCGGGGATCAGGAGCCAGACTAAGGCACCGTTATGATTCGTAGGGTGCCCTGTCAATGTCAGAGGCTCATTTTGCCTGACGAATGCATCTTTTGGATTCTTAGAGTACGCTGCGAATGCCTGAGACTCGTCCGAGGAGCCAGACTTGAGACACCCCTGGGATTCGCGGTAGAGTTCAGTGGGAACGACAGAGGCCACCGACATGGGTCCGAGCTTACACCCGTGGTGGCATCGCCACCTAGCGAGCAGCGTGTGTACCTGTGCGTGTGTCGGTCTTGACATGCGGCGTGAGAGGAGGGAGCGGTAGTGGTTAAAGATCACTCCTGGGGTGACAAAGGCAGCCGAACGTGGTGCTAGCCACCTATGAAGGCGTGCAGTCTGTTGATGGTCGGCGATGCGGCAATCGACTCATCTCGACGAGCTGTACACGATGCACTATTCAAAGTTGAATTTTTCGATAATGGATTTTTTAATGCTGATGTTTGGCGCTTCGACCTCGCGGAGTAGCACTGATTTCGGATTGATTGCTGCCCCAGTCGCGGAATTAAGTACACCCCTGGAAAAAAGTGTCCCAGAAATAAAATATTTAATTGCCTCGGACATTTTGTATTATTTGGTACCCCGGGGAACCACGATAAGGATCAAATAACCCTCGTGAGTGACTCGGCGTGGGTAGACCTTCATCCAGCAATGGATTGACAAACGGCAGGGAAAATTATTTTAAAATTATTGTAAATATTTGTGTTTGTGTGGATAGCGCATGCCTGCATTGCATAGAACTACACGGGACATCTTTGTCTAGTACAGGTGTGTGAATGTATGAGAGTTTCATGCTTCTAACGAGACAAGTCGCTAGATTGGATGGCCGGTGGTCGAGACTACCGACAGAATAGCGGCCAACGGAGGGAACACGCCCGAGAAGTGGACCACCACAGCGGAGATGGAGCGATGAACTCAGCTCGTGAGCTTGACCGATCGTCCCATCACAAGAGCGTGAGAGATGGCGCCTTCATCCAGCGGTGGATTGATCACGGCTCGCGATGGTGATGATTAAGTGGAAAGAGGGCTCGGCCTGCCTTCTGATGGCCTTCACGTCCCACTCTTGTCTCAGTAGTACCCACAGCTCAAAAGTGATAGGCAACCTGATGGATGTCACATTTGGATGAAGACCCCCTCCAGACACTCTTTTTTTCTGCCCTTTGTTCAAAAGGGGAATAAATAATTCAAATATTTACTCCTCCACCCCCATTTCACCACCCCCTCAATTTCTGAGGGGCCGAAAATAAAAAAAATCTATGTTTGTGGATTTGCCTGTCATGGTGTGCATCCGTTTGCCTATGTATACGACTGTGGTGTTGTATACTGTGTGCCGGGAGCGGCTTGCGCACTACGTTATGAACCTGCCAATCCGAGTTCGAATCCCACTCACGGACAATACCAGTGACGATTATCTGAACCAGTCATGGGCCTCCCCCAACGACAATTCAGCCTCAAATGAGTACCTGGGTGCGGTGTGTAAAAAAACCCATCGCCAATGGACAAATGCTGCCAGGCGTGGTGCTGGCCAACACTCCCATCGTGTACCGTTCCGGTCTTCATAGGTGCTCGCTAACCGCACTTGCCCCAACAGTGTGGTTACGTCTATACGGGGGATCTTTGTCTTCGTATGTGGTGACTTGGTCATGGTCTCCTCCCGTGCCTCTTTGCGCACCTTCCAGCTTTTGCGTTATTCTATTCGTCAATGTCGACGATTCTGATCCGCAGGTCATCGTGGCTCATACACAATGATCGTTCTTCTGCAGGCAAGCAGAGGGCCGTATTAGAGGGCTAATGAAGACAAACGTTGTCCTGTGGTTGATCGGAGATCGTTTTTAAAAAAAAAATCAGCTTGAGCGAGTGACACCGGCGGTAGCAGTAACATTGGGCAGCAGCAGTAGCACATGTAGAGAGTTTTCACTGAAGGCTGACGAAACAGAAGTGCCTCGGGCCCACAATAACATTAATCCGGCACCTGCAGGCAAATTGCTCTTTTGATTTCCATGACGAAAAAAGTACATATTGCCACCGCCTGCAATTACGACTGCACCAGGTGCAATACTCTGCTGTTTCATGATGTCTGTGTGTCCCTCCGGCAGACATCCTCGGATTAGCAATCTTGTCAACCATCTCAGATTTGTGTTGAATCCGTCTCGCAATGAGCACCCCAAAGACAAAGATCCCCCTTGTAGCCTTCAGACTGTAGGGGCAAGTGCTGTTAGCGAGCACCTATGGAGGTCGGCACGGCGAACGAGGGGGTGGGTGTCCAGCACCACGCCCGGCCGCCTTTGTCTCCCCAGTGGCGATGTTCACACACCGCACCAGGTACTCATTTGAGGCTGAGTCGACCTAGGGGAGGCCCAGGACCGGTTCAGATAATCGTCACTGGTGGTGTTTACCGCGAGCGTGAATGGAACTGGAGTCGCCAGGTTGGTGGCGCAGCGCGCTAACCGCTACACCACCGCTCCACATCCCCCCACACACAATCACCTCCCTCACACTCATTACCCCCCAACCCCACACACCTATAACTCGCTCTCACGTCAGCCCTCGCCCATCATCCCGCATGACCCCGTCACCCTCACTCACCTCCCTAAACACCCCCACCCACCTCACCCCTCATCGCGAGCTTTCAGGTGCGCTTCTGCGGACCGTCTGGAACGCTCTTCCACCCGATATCGGGAAGCCACTGGAGCTATGCAATTTCACGTCGTCGAGATTGACAAACGAATTTCTTTAAAAAAAAAAAATGGTTTCTTCCCTCGCACCTCCGAATAGCCACGGTTGGCTTACGTACGGTGCGAAATAAGTTCAACATGCAGTACATACATCACCCCCCTCCCCCCTATCACCCACCTCACCTCCCCTCCCCCTATCACCCACCTCATCACCCCCTCCCTCACGCCACCACCTCCTCTACCTAACCCCAGCACCCCCCCCCCCCAGCCTCCTTACCTAACCTCACCCCCTCCCCCAACTCCCTTACTTAACCCCAACGTCAGACCCCCCCCCCACCTCCCACGCCCACCTCTATCCACAGCTGGATGGTCTCCTAACGGTAACCCCCCCCCCCTTACTCCCTTGGCTCCCCTCCTCCCCCCCCCCTCGTGCCCGGTGGTCGCGTGCGAGCGCGCGCTTTGGGCGGTGCACGCTACCGGCGCGCACGTGCGACTGATAAAAGCCGCGCGCACGAAGCTCACGCGATCCGCGCAGAGACACCTGGCGTCATCGCCAGCTCCCTCCCATCAACAACAGCGACCACCGCGTCCATGACCACCACCACCACCACGACTACCACAGCACACTCACAAATACGTGTGCAGGCTGCGCGTAAACATTCTCGCACACACGCGCATACACACATTGCCGATGTTCACACGCGCGCAGGTGCTCTGCTCTCACTGACACATACGCGAACAGGTGTAGGGATTCATACGCGCACGCGGTCATAGAGACGCATACAGAAGACAAAGATCCCCCGTATAGCCTGAACAGACTTTTGGGGAAAGTGCCGTGAGCGAGCACCTGTGAAGGCCGGCACGGCACACTCGGGTGTTGGGTGACCAGCACCACGCCTGCTGCTTTTGTCTCGCCAGTGGCGATGTTTACACACTGCACCAGGTACTCATTTGAGGCTGAGTCGACCTAGGGGAGGCCCAAGACCGGTTCTGATAATCATTACTGGTGATAGTGGCCGTGAGCGGGAATATAACTCGGATTGCGGAGTTCGTAGCGCAGCACGCTAACCACTGCGCCACCGCTCCCCACAAAGGTATACACACATAAACACGCACACAGGTGTACCTTCACACATACACACAGGTGTACAATGACAAAATATCCCCGTATAAGGATATTCAAGGCTATTGGGGCAAGTGCGGTGAAGATCCGTGGTGGTTGAATATCTGAACTGGGTCCCAGGGATTTCGCCTTTGGTCGACGTCATCACTGGGGAGACAAATGCGGCCGGGCGTGGTTCTGGTCACACCATCCTGATTATCCACCCCTTCGAGTGCCGTGTTCCAGCATTAATAGGCGCTAGTAAACATCAAGGACACATGTTACCGTACAATAGCGAATCGGTGGCTAACAGACGGTCTTGTTTTTTTTAGGCCTTTAATCCCCGAGAAACCAGGTCTGCTTTCGGGCCGACACAATAATCCTTAAATTCAACGACAGAGCAGCTGCTGCTATCATTATTATCATACAACGCAGTTCCTGCGGGGTAATAATGTACATCGTTTGAGCTGTGTGTGAAGACACACACAGGGCAGTGCAGGTCCCGGCTGCATTTTACAATGCATCTTGCATCTCGGTGAGCGTACGGGCGAGGGTGCTGTCAGTCAGTTGAGCGTGTGGTCGAGCAGGTGTGTGGGTGAGTGAAGAAGTGTTTGCGTGCGTGTGTGAACGTGCGGGTGAGTGTGTAGCCGAGCACTCTGTAAGTCAGTAAGCATGTGGATATGCATGTGGGCGAGCATTTGGGCGAGCATGTGGTTGAGTGTAGAGGTGAGTCCATCGTCAGTCGGGTGAGCGAGCGGGAGAGCGGGTGAGCACAGCGATGACAGCCCCGCGGGGAACGGGAACTCCTCCCACCTCCCTCATCCTCTTCTTCCCCTCCGCCTGCCGCTTCAGCAGCTTCATCTTCCTCGAGATGTCCCCTCCGTACTGATGGCAACATCGTCACACGCCATCACCGAGCCTCGTCACGCAGCATCATCTTACCTCTACTGTTGCTAATCAACCTCAAGAAATATGGTCCACATTAAATCGAATCCGAATACCTCATGGTGGATCCACCCACTGCTTATTATTTATTATTACGCTTGTTTAGCCAGGAGACCCTTTTATTCCGAAGGGTCCTGCCAAGTGTTTTTTGTAGGAAGGGGGCGATGTTGCTATGCGTGAGTCATCCGCGGGCAATGTTTTTTCAGTATTGGGATGTTTTGGCCATTATCAGTTACATTGCAGAATTTATTTGTATATCGATTGGAGGAAACCAGGAGGATATGGAGGGAAACCCATGCGCAACAAAAACTCCACGCAGAAAGGTGCCTGGACTCGGGAATCAAACCCAGGCCCATGTTGCTATCAGTCACGAGTGTTGTCACCGCGCCACCTGGCGGCCCTTCGCAAGTTCTAAATTCAAAGAAATTCCGGTGTGCGATTGCGTAAACGCCAACCCGACCATTGTCCACACGGTCGTGAACCACTGTGAACTCCGTAAATTAACGCAAGTCTTTGGGTCTCCATGAAAGTCTATTAGTCTCGACGTGGAAACAAATAGTCATGAGTGCCACAATTATAACGAAAGCATTGAAGAAATCGCCCTGCGTATCAGTATTTTCCTAGCTAACGAATCCGGACATAGACTGGTAGGTAAATTTACGTGCTCAAGATAATTATATCTCTTTGCGCCACGTAGTCACTCCTCAAACTCCTCAACATTGTCACATATCATCGTCACTTCCACACCGCACCTCATCCGGCATCAGCACACCTCGTCATCCGACATCACCGCTCCTTGTCATGCGCCGCTACACCTCATCACATCATTATCACACCCCACCGAACATCGTCGGCTCTACTCACGCATTTGGCGAGGACGTTCTTGCGGAAAGCTTTGATCCTGGAAAACGAGAATGGAACCAACGTCGTCAGTTTCACCAGCGACACCAACATCATCACCATCATCACAATCTCCGCCATCAAGATAATTTATCGCGAACACCATAGCCTAAACTATCCTGTTCAATCTCACTTATCCAGCGTGTATTGTGTGTCACGTACGTCTCCCTGGCGATGACCTTCGACCCAATGGTGGCCTGGATCGCGACCTCAAACATCTGGCGGGGGATGGAGTCGCGGAGACGAATGCACATCTCCTTGCCAACCAGGTGTGCCTTGTCCCTACATGCACACAGGAACACAATGTACATGCGATTGTGTGCACACACGTGTCGATAAGAGTGTATGTGTGCGTCTTTATGTGGGGAGCGGCAGTGCAGAGGTCAGCACACTGCGCTACAAACGCGGCGACCACAGTTCGACTCCCGCTTATAGCCAACATCGGCGACAATCTTAACTGGTCCTAGGCCTCTTCCTGGTCCACTCAGCCTTAAATCAAGAACCTGGTATGATGTATACACATCAGTCTGTTAAGGCTATACAGAGGATCTTTGCCTTTTGTGTGTGTGCATCCGGATGTGCCTGCGGGTGTGTGTCTGTATGTCCATGCCGGTGTGTGTCCGTGTGTTACGTTTACAATTAGGGCGAGGAGCGGTCGTGTAGCGGTTAGCGCACTACGCTATGAACCCGGTGACCCAAGTTATATTCCCGCTCATGCTTCAACACCAGTGACGATTATCTGAACCAGTCCTAGGCCTTCTGTAGATCGACTCAGCCTCAAATGAGTACCTGGTTCGGTATGTAAAAACATCATTACAGGGAAGACAAAGGGGCGGCTTTGTCTTCCCCCCCCCCCTCGTGTGCTGTGGTGGCCTTCATAGGTGCTCGCTAACAGCCCTTGCCCCAACAGTCTGTTTCAGGCTACACGGGGGTTCTTTGTTTTTTGTGTGTGCTGCGTGCTCGGACCGGTGTACGATGTTCGTGAGCTCCTCCACAGGTTTCCCGTTGAGCATAACGTCCATGCGCACGATGTCCACGGGCTCGTAGCCAGCCTCCTCGTAGTCAAAGCTGTACACGGGGGTGTTACCATGGTGAGCAGACAAGGTGGGAGTGGGGGGAATAGACTGGGATACGTGGGTCATGAACAGGGATACACAATAAGGATTCACAGGGATGCACGGTGATACACAGAGGGGATACGAGTCACCAGGTGGTTTGTAGATACACGGGGATACACACAGACATGCAAATAGTGCACGGGGATACACGGTGGGTGCACGAGAATGCAAATAAACACAGAGATGCACGGGGCAGGCATGGCTATGCGTAAGGGTGCACTCATAGGAGTACACAGGGATGCAGAGGGGTGCACGCGGATACATGGAGACAAGGCAGGTGGCCATTCTGGTGTCTGTGGTCGAGGTGTGAGCGCGGTGTCATGGCGGTTCTTGGGGTGGTTGTGCGGCGGTGGCTGCCGTCACCTGGCGTATCCCGAAGACAGAGACTTGAGGATGTCGTAAAAGTCAACGAGGACCTCGCAGAGTGGCATGCGGTAGCGCAGCATGACGCGCGCGCCGTCCATGTACAGCACGTCCACCTGCGTGCCCCGCCGTTCCTGACACGCGGAGACACGCGGGTAAGTAAAGGTACATGCGGGGACATGCAGGGACACGCGGGGCACATGTATCCAAAGCGACAGGCGGGGATACCAGAGACGCAGAGAGAGACGACACAATCCATAGTTGTATTGTACTTTCTAAGCTCACACGTCTATACTCCTCGCCTACACTAACCCACACCTCCAAATGTTTGTGCAATTTACAGACCCTCAATCCAGCTTTGAATTGACATAAGGTGGTTTAATGTCGTGTGTATGGACACGTATGTGTACACGTGCGTGCGTGCGTGAGCGTGAGATGTGGCACCTGGCAGAGCTTCATGATGGCACCCATGTGTGCGTCGGGCGTGATGATGGTGCCCGTGATCATGGGCTCCAAGTAGTGCGACACCACCGAGCGGTCTGGCAGCTCACACGGGTTCAGCACCATCACGTCGGCACTACCATGCTCCTGGTAACCCCAGCACGGGACGAGGAGGGTCACGGCACAGGGAGGGTCACGGCACAGGGAGGGTTCCGGCGCAGGGAGACTTACGGCATGGGAACGGACAGAGTACAAGGAGAGTCATGGCACGAGGAGGGTCACATCAAGAAGAGAGGGGTCACGGGCACCATCAGTTACATCATCTCTCACATGGAAAGGTGTACAAGTGTTACGTGTTGCTTAAGCAGGTGTGTGGGTATTACGAGTGTGAGGAGTGATGACATAGTCGTTGACGTACTGCTCTATTAACCCGGTGTCTTGAGATCGACTCCTGACCATGCCTTGCAAGTGTGCATCTGTAGAGTATGTGTGCGCACGTGTGTATTTGCTTGAGTGCGGAGCACTAGTGCAATGGTTAGCGCACTGCACTATGGACCCAGCGACCAGAGTTCAATTCCCGCTCACGGCCAACACCAATGACGAATATCTGAATCTGTTCTGGGCCTCCGCTCGGTTGACTTAGCCTCAAATCAGTACCTGGGGCGATGTGTAAACATCGCCAGTGGGGAGACAAAGGCGGCCGGGCGTGGTGCTGGCCACGCACACCTTTGAGTGTCGTATCGGCCTTCATAGGTGCTCGCTAACAGCACATGCCCCAACAGTCTATTAAAGGCTACACGGGGTATCTTTGCCTTTGTTTTTGTGCTTGAGATGGAGAGTGGATGGGCATGCTTTTATCAGGCCCAGTTCTAGGGGGTCCAGTAGACCTGTTGTATGGGGGGCCACCTTAACAGCGATTCACCACTAAGGAGTGTGAAATTGGATGGGGTCAAAGGGACATCTGTTGGGGTAGGGCCCACCCAGGGCCCACCCAGGGCCCACACCAGCTCCCACCTAGCCCGGTCCTGTGTGTACGAGTGTGTATGCGTGTGTGTGTGTGTCTGCGTGGCGTCACCTTGATGAGGCGTGGGGAGGTGAGCACGGCGCGGTAGGGCACGGTGGGTGCCGTGAGAATGACGCTCGTGTTGTACTCCTGCTCCAGACGCTGCTGGAACACGTCGAGGTGCAACAGGCCCAGGAACCCCAGCCTGGACAATGAACAAGATCTCTCGTGTAGTCTTTTACAGACTGTTGGGGCAAGTGCTCTTAACGAGACACCTATGACGGCTGGCCTGGCACACAGGGGGCTGGCATAGCTGGCTCCACGCCCGGCTGCCTTTGTCTCCCCAGTGTTCATGTTTACACAATGCACCAGGTACTCATCGAAGGATGAGCATATCAATTGCATACTCGTGTGTACTGCATGTGTGTGTATGCGCATGGACATCGCGTGCATGCGTGTGTGCGTGTGTATGTCTGGCAGGTGCCCAATGATTTTACCTCCAACCAGCTCCCAAGGCGGCGCTGCTCTCCCTCTGCACGGAGACGCTGGAGTCGCGCAGGGTCAGCCTCTCGAGCGCCGAGCGCAGGGACGTGTACTCCGACTGGTCTGATGGGAACATGCCTGGACAAACAAAGACAAAGATCCCGCGTATAGCCTCAACAGACTGTTGGGGCAGGCGCTGTTAGCGAGCACCTATGCAGGCCGGCACGGCACACGAGGGAGTGGGTGGCCAGCACCACGCCCGGCCGCCTTTGTCTCCCCAGTGGCGATGTTTACACACCGCACCAGGTACTCATATCACGCAAGTACACACGCCACAGACATACACAGCCACCACCATCACCTCCACCACCGCTTTTTTTCACGCATCAGGGGTTGTTTGTAAGTACGTACTGTACGTGTGTTTGCATTTGTATGTCAGCGTATATTTTAGTGTTAGTCTACGTACATCTCTGTGTGAGTGCATACGTGCCACGGTGGCAAGAACCACCTAACCTGGTATACAGGAGGTCGTGGGTATGATTCAGACCCTGACACCTGTATATTTGGAGTTAGCATGTTTTCCCAGTGGTTGTGTGGATTTTTCCTCAGGTCCTCCAGTTTTTCCCTACACATTTAGAATAAACGTGTTTAAGAGTATTTGGCTGCTTTAAATTTCCAGCCGATAAGCCACTTCATTGAGCTATCATTTGTGGCCAGGTCCCTTCTGAAAAAGAAGCTAATAGCTCAGTGGGCCCTACCTTGTAAAATAAAAATAGTTTAGTGTTTGTGTGTGTGTGTGTATATATGCAAGTGTGTGGGGAGCTATAGTGTAGCGGTTAGCGCGCTGCGCTATGAACCTGGCGACCCGGATTCGATTCCCGCTCACGGCCAACACCAGTGACGATTATCTGAACCGGTCCCGGGCCTCCCCTAGGTCGACTCAGCCTCAATGAGTACCTGGTGCGGTGTGTAAACATTGCCACTAGGGACACAAAGGCGGTCGGGCGTGGTGCTGGCCACCCACCCCCTCGTGTACCGTTCCGGCCTTCATAGGTGCTCGCTAACAGTACTTGCCCCTACAGTCTGTTAAGGCTATATGGGGGATCTGTATCTTTGTATGCAAGTGTACACAGTGACAATTATATGAACTGTTCCTGGGGCTCCCCTAGGTCGACCTCAAATGAGTATCTGGTGCGGTGTGTAAACATTGCCACTGGGGAGACAAAGGCGGCCACTCATCCCCTCATATACTGTGCCGGCCTTCATAAGTGCTTGCTAACAGCACTTGCCCTAAAATCTGTTAAAGAATATATGGGGGTCTTTGTATGCGAGTTTTCACAGGTAGTATTCATACGTGTGTTAGCGTGTGCATCCAGCGCCACGTACCAGCGAACACCATGGGCTTGGAGGGTTTGAACCCGGGCAGGGGCTCCACCTCGTGAGCGGCCGAGTGCAGCGTATCGCCCACCTGGGCCTCGGTAACCTGGCGCATCCCGCACACCAGGTATCCCACCTGGCCCGCGTACCTGGGCACACATACCGCAGCAGACCACGTCACATGAACCACGTCGCACGTTAATAATGCACGCTCCGCACGCCACGACACACCGCATCACAATGCATCTCACTGCATCGCAACACATTGCGACACACACACGGCACGCCAACCAGACAACTAATTCCAATCGATGCGAGCCCAGCGCACGTGTGCACACACATCTACACGTGCGAGGGTACACAGCTTGCGCACGCTCACAGATCGCGCGTATAGGCGTTTGCGAGCGCACACAAACGGGTGTCCGCACGTACGTGCGTGAGCTCACAGAGTTGCCGTGGGAGTGGGCAAGGGCAGCAGGAGGCCGATGTCGGACACCTCGTAGTCGCGCGGCCGCGAGGAGGTGGAGGAGCTGTGCGTGCGCACGCGGTCGCCACGGCTCACGGCACCGTCGCGCACCATCACGCGTGCCACCGCGCCGCGGAACGAGTCGAACTCCGAGGCGAAGAGCAGCGCGCGGAACGGGGCCGTCGCGTCCCCGCGGGGGCTGCACATGCACGTACCCATGCACGCAGTTAACATACGTGTGCACAGGTGTGTCAGAATACGTGCACAGGCGTGTCAGAATACGTGCGGGAGCAGCGGTGTAGTGGTTACCATGCTTCGCTACGAACCCGGTGAACTGAGTTTGATTTCCGCAAACAGCCACCAACACCAGCTACGATTATCTGAACCAGTCCCGGGCCTCCCCGAGGTCGAATAATCCTCAAATGAGTACCCGGTGCAGTGTGTAAACATTGCCATCAGGGAAACAAAGGTGGTTGGGCATGGTACTGGCAACCCACCCCCTTGTGTGCCTTGCGGGCCTTCATAGGTTCTTGCCAACAGCAACTTGCCCCAAAAGTCTATTAAAGTTATATGGGGGATCTGTGTCTTTGCCTGCGTGTGAAGAGAATGTGTGCAAGGGTGTGCACACTAACGGAGGGATCCTGTCGATAACCGCCTCCAATATTTGCTCCACATTTGTACCCAACTTGGCAGATACCTGCACACACACATACACAGACACGCACAGATACAGACACAGCATGCACACAACATTCACATACAGACACAGAATGCATATACAGCAGACGCACAGCAGTTGTTCGTCCGTCATTCTCACTCTAATGCAGTCGCTGGCCGGAATGTCGAAGAGTTTCTCAATCTCTGCGGCAACTCGGTCCGGGTCCGCGGCTTTGAGATCGATCTAGCCGAGGCATCAAACACGAAAAAACAACAACAACCACAACAACAACGTGAGCTGAGACGGGGAGACACGGGGATGCATGAGGGGACATGTGAAAACAAGGTGAGGCACGGTGCGACCATCTGGAACGCTGTTCCTTCCTACATTAGAAAGCCACTGGAGCTAAGCACATTTAAATCTAAATTAAAAACATATTTTCTTAAAACTGCTTCTTGTGTTTAGTTTGTTGTCCTTCCCCCGTACCTCCAATTAGCACGTTTGGCTATGTACAGTGCGATGCGAAACACGTTCAACAATCAGGGAGACGTGGGTAGCGACAGCGATGCACGGAGAGACATGGGGAGGGGTACATTTATAAGTCTATCTGGCCTTTTGAGGTCTGTCTTTCCATCATTTCTTTGCAGCGCAACATCCGCTCCTTCCTTGTGTTTACACTCTTAACTGTATAAATCCACATCGGATTGCATTAATTGTATGACGAGACGGAAAGGAAGAGAGGGAATGTGTGAGCTAGAGGAAGGGTCAGAGGGGGAAGGGAAGGAGGAAGGGGAGATGGGGTGGGTAGATGGAAAGGGGAGGGAGAGAGGCTTCACCTTGTTAATGACGGGGATGATTGCGAGCTCTGCCTCAAATGCAAGGTAAAAATTTGCCACAGTCTGAGCTTGGATGCCCTGCACAAATACACACAGAGACCCGTACAGCCTTTAAAAATGTTGGGGGAAAATACTGTTAGCGAGCACCAGTCATAGGGCTAGCGAGCACCACATTTTCTCAATCCTGATGTTTAAATACACCACACTGAGTACTCATCTAAGGCTGAGTCGAACTAGGGGAGGCCCAAGACCGGTTCAGATGTTACTTGCTACTGACATACACACTGGCAAACAACAAATTGGCACACGTGCATGTAACCCACCATGCCCTCTCGCTACAGTGGGCATGCATGCCTACGTGTGTTCCTGTGTGTGATTGTGACTGAGCATACGTATCTGTAAGTTTTCATGGTTGTGTGCATGTCTGTGTGAATGTGCCCGAGTGCATGTGTGTGATTGCTTGCATGTGTGTGCGACTGTGTGCACGTTTTGACTCTTTTTTGTTCATGTTTGTATGCACGTGAGTGCGTGCATCTGTTTGTGTGCGTGTTTATATGTTCATGCGCGCTTCCTTTTACATACGTGTGCCGGTGCGTGCACGCTTGCATATGTGTTGCCGTGCGTTTGCTTTTGCATTCGCACGTGTGCATGCCTGTGCATCTTGTTAGAACCTCATTAGCGTCGACCAATAGGAGCACGCCCTGGCAGGCGGCGAGCGACCGCGACACCTCATAGTTGAAATCCACGTGGCCCTAACACACGCACACACATAAATACAAAGACCCCCCGCATAGCCTTTAACAGACTGTTGTGGAGCAAGTGCTGTTAGCGAACAACTATTAAGGCCGAGGGGGTGGGTGGCCAAAACCATGCCTGGCCACTTTTGTCTCTCCAGTGGTAATGTTTACACATCACACAAGGTACTCATTTAAGGGTGAGTCGACCTAGGGGAGGTCCAGGACCAGTTCATATATTCCCCGCTGTTATTGGTCATGGACGGGCATGTAATCCGGGTCTCTGGATTTGTAGCGCAATGCTAAACACTATGTTATCGCTCCCGACGCGCACACACACACACAAGCATTCATACACATATACACACGTGTATACACACATCCGCACACACGCACAAGCATATGCACATAGACATATGTAACCACAGAAGGTTGGGCATGTACGTTACAAGCGTGTAGACTTGGTTTGTCTAAGAAGTGAAGGGTGGACACATGCTGTGTGTATATGTGTGTGTACTAGAGTTTCTAGGCACTTGAGTGTGCACACGTGTGTATACCGATGTGTCTATGAGGACGAGTGTGTACCTGTGGCGTATATGTATGTGCATATGTCGTTGTGTGTGTGGTAGTGGGGAGTGGTAGTGTAGCGGTTAGCACACTGCACTACAAACCCTGCGACCTGAGTTTGATTCCCACCACGGCCAACACCAGTGACGATTATCTGTAGTCCTGGGCCTCCTCTAGGTCAACTCAGCCTGATATGAGTACCTGGTGAGGTGTGTAAACATCGCCACTATCAAAAAAAAGGCGGCTGGGCATGGTGCTGGTCTTCCCACCCTCCTGTGTGCCGTGTTGGCCTCCATAGGTGCTCGCTAAAAGCACTTGCTTCTGGTCCAACACCAATGGAGACTAGGCTCTAAGAAAAGCCGTCTCGGGTGTGGACCAATCAAATTCAAGGACAGTGCATATTATTATCAGAGTTGTCTCTTTTGTTTGCATTTTGACTGCTTGTATTGTGGTTATTGCAAACATGATGCCTTGAATAAAGGTGTCAGTTTTTGTGCCAGTTAAAAGGGTAAAACCTACTTAAAAATTCTAAACCGCCAGTTGTTAAGGGGCGAAGCAGGTGCAAACGGGGGCGGGGGGGTCGACCGGTTGTGCACGTTGAGACCGGAGGTGTTGCCAGGAAGACGGGAGATAAGGGTTGGTAGATGGGCCAACAGGCGCCGCCCTAGCAAGCGCTTAAAGAGACGCACGAGAGGTCTCGGATAATTAGCAGAGGGATATAAGGGTGTGTGCATGAGCGGAGGGAGAGTTGTTGCCGGGGACAAGAGTGAAGACATCTCGCCGCTGCCGCTCCAGCCGTCAACGGGAGCTCAGCCCTTACGCCGTCGCCGGGCGGGTGTTGGCTGATTCCCCCGCCCGGGACAGACGGGTGAGTGGGTCTGAGGGAGAGTAGGTGAGGGCAGCGGTGGAGGTGTAGAGTTGCTGTGTGCAGAGTCACTGTGTGCAAAGACGCTGTGTGCGGAGTCGTTGTGTGCGGAGACGCTGTGTGCGGAGTCGCTGTGTGTGGAGTCGCTGTGTCTGGAGTCGCTGTGTGCGGAGTCACTGTGTGCGGAGTCGCTGTGTGCGGAGTCGCTGTGTGCGTGTGCGGAGACGTTGAGTGTGAAGTCGCTGTGTGTGGAGTCACTGTGTGTGGAGTCGCTGTGTGTGGAGTCGCTGTGTGTGGAGTCACTGTGTGCGGAGTCGCTGTGTGCAGAGTCGCTGTGTGTGGAGTCGCTGTGTGCGGAGTCGCTGTGTGCGGAGTCGCTGTGTGCGGAGTCGCTGTGTGCGGAGTCGCTGTGTGCGGAGTCGCTGTGTGCGGAGTCGCTGTGTGCGGAGTCGCTGTGTGCGGAGTCGCTGTGTGCGGAGTCGCTGTGTGCGGAGTCGCTGTGTGCGGAGTCGCTGTGTGCGGAGTCGCTGTGTGCGGAGTCGCTGTGTGTGGAGTCGCTGTGTGCGGAGTCGCTGTGTGTGGAGTCGCTGTGTGTGGAGTCGCTGTGTGCGGAGTCGCTGTGTGTGGAGTCGCTGTGTGCGGAGTCGCTGTGTGTGGAGTCGCTGAGTGCGGAGTCGCTGTGTGTGGAGTCGCTGTGTGCGGAGTCGCTGAGTGCGGAGTCGCTGTGTGCAGAGTCGCTGTGTGCGAAGACGCTGTGTGCGGAGTCGCTGAGTGCAGGATGAGTGAGGTGGAAGGTAGATAAGAGTGGGGAGAAGTTAAACATAAGTGACCGTATAGATAGTTATAGGAGTGCCTACAACTGGTGCTAGAATCGGTGAATAAAGTGTAAGCAGGTGACTTGTTACAACGTGTCGGTGTGAGTAATTTTTGAAGACACTACACATGTACCCAGTGTGTGTATGAGGTTTAGTGTGAACCTGTGGCGTATATGCATGTAATCTGTATACGTGTGTATGTGTATACACGTGTGTGTGTACCGGTGTGTCTATGAGGTTGAGCATGTACGCGTGGCGCGTGTGCGCATGCGAGTGGAACAGCGTGGCCGTCTGAGCCTTGACCGTGATGCCTCTCTCCCGCTCCACCTGAAGCGTGTCCAGCACCTGCTTGTTCCCTGAGCTCGGCTGGATGGCTCCTGCACACACACACACACAAAACAAAGATCCCCCTTATAGCCTTCAACAGACTGTTGAGGCAAGGGCTGTTTGAGAGCGACTATTAAGGCTAGCACAAGGCGGTCGGGTGGGGTGGCCAGAACCACGGCCACCCGGCCGCTTTTTTCTTCCCAATGCTGAGGTTTACACACCACATCAGGTACTTGTTTGAGGCAAAGTTGACCTAAGGGAGGTTCAGGAGCTGTTGAAACATTCGAAACGGATGTTGGCTGTCAGCAGAAACTGAATTCAGGTCACCAGGTTCGTAGCGCAGGCCGCAAACTACTTTGCCATCGCTCCCTACATACACACACACGTAAAAAGACGTAGATCTCCGTGTAGCCTATACAAGACTGTTGGGGTAAGAGGGTGGCCCGCACACACACTTGAAAGTACACACGCATGCAAATGCACATATATAACACAAACATTCATACACACACCCGCACGCACACAGGAGGAGGTGTGAAGAGGTGGTAATGCGAGGAGGAAAAGGTGTGAGGAGGAGGTCTAAGTAGGAGGAGAAAAAGGTGTGAGAACGACTGAGTAGGAGGGGAAGGAGGTGTGAAGAGGAAGAAGAGGTGTGAGGAGGTAGTGCGAGGAGTCAGAAGAGTGGGAGGGAGAGCGGAGTGTACCCGTGATCTCGAGGAGCCGGTCGGCAAGCGTGCTCTTGCCATGATCAACGTGCGCCACAATGCTGAAGTTCCGGATCCTCTCCATGGGGAACAGAGACAGATCCGGGACCTGCAGCATAAGCACACAGTCCCCCGTGCAGGCTACATTATAGAGTGCGGTTAGCGAGCACCTATGAAGGCTGGAGAGGCGCACGAGGAGGTGGTGTGGTCAGCACCATGCCGAGCTGGCCGCCTTTGCCTCCCCAGTGCTGATGTTTGGGCACCGCACCAGGTACTCATTTTCAGGCGACATACCGGGGGCTCAGAACCAGTTTGGATATCGCTCACCACTGATGTTCGCCGTGGTGGAAAATCAAAGCCATTATGCCAAGTCCTTAGCGTAGTGTGTAATCCATTGCACCACCACTCCTAAAGGCTACCTCATCACACCTGATAACACACAACTCATAAGCTGGCCATAATCCACACTTTTATTCTAAATTATGCTTTTGGCATGATGCCAGGAGACAAAGAATCCATTTTGAACTCTCGTATTAGCCTATGTTCGAACCCAATCTGCAGAGGTGGCTATCACAGATCTGCATACACGAGAGCGCGCAGCACTTTCCCACCCTCCCACCTACACAGACATGTTTGTTGCATGGCAGTCAAACCGATATTTTTATTCTCAGAGCCAGATTTTGTCCAAATGAAGTGCAAAACCAAATTTATCGTGAGATTGTTTTACACAGTCATTGGTGATTGGCCGGAGACCATCAACTCACTAGCCTCGAGAACCTGGCTTCACCACTGTTGGCTGAAACCCAGATTCGAACCCAGAATCTAAGCGTTGCCGGCTCAGCGCTACGACACAGTCATTGTGAACCCCCTGAGCAACCCGTCCACCACTCCCGCACTTACTGCCCGGTCGATGCACCTCCTCCCCCGTTGCTTACCGCCACCTCTTCCTTCTCCACCTCACCTTGGCTTCATCACTGTAGCTCCTCGTGCTGACACCGTGACCCGACCTTAACCTTGACCTCGGCCCCGCCCTGAGCGGCCTCAGCAGCAGCAGGGCCCGTGTGTTCAACATCAGCGGCGCTATCTCCTCCTGCGCCGCCGTGGGGTTAACATTGAGATAAATGAAAACGGTTTCAACTGGACCCACATTTAAACGGAGTTTCACCACCATAAGGCTTGAGATCTCCATCGTTGAATGAAGGCTTCCCCTCGCCATCACCATCTTATCAGTATCACGATTCAGCAATCCTTCTAGCTCCTCCACATATGTATAGTTCATTGCTCCATCTCTGTACTGGACGTAGTCTCAGGTGTGTTCTCTCCTTTGGCTGCCACGACGTTGTTTGTCTCGACCAGTGGCAATCATCCCGTCTAGAGGTGCACCCCCCCCCCCCCCCCCCAAGGCCATGTTTTTGAAGTCAATGTGATGTCTTTAACTTGCGTTTGTTCTGTGGTCCGTCTGTTGCTCTTTCTGTCTCTCAGTGTAATTCCCAGAATGCACATCTCCATGCTTCTTTCAGTACTTTTCAGTTGTTGTTCAATTTGCTTTGTGAACATGCCAATGCGCTTAAATGATAAACGGTTTAATCAGTGTATTTTACCCATTGTGACATATGAATTGGAAATATATTACATAAACACAGTGTAATATTATAGAAGCGCGCGAGTTTAAAGCAGTTTAAGGTAACGTAGTCAGAAAATACATCTCCTTCAAAAGCTGTCTCTCTGTATACAAAAAAATTTTTTTTTTACATAACCCAATGGCGCTAGAGCCTTCTATGAGTGAATAATTTGAGCAGCATTGATATAATGCAAGCAAACTCTGGACGGGTTTTGATATACGGCGTCGCATCAGCAGATTCAGGCTCGCTTGAATCAATTCTGTTGAACTGACAGATGTCATAGGCAAGGATAATCTTTTTAAGATATGGGTCCTCGTTCGATGTGAAATACAACTAAAAATAATCATAAATGGTAATCTTGGGTAATATAATTGTAATCGAGAACCATAGTAACTAGAAGGGAATTCGTGATCTAGAACCGTATGGTTAAAGAAACAACACATCCAGTCGAATCTAGAGAATGGCCCGCGAAAGGAGATATCACAGACCTACTTCAGAAATTAATTAAAGTGACCTCTGGTCTACACATAATTTTCCCATCCATCCTACAATGGAACAATATTCGTTGCATAACAGACAACCTCCATATTTTTTTATTTTCAGTGCTGGATTTTTTCAGATTAAGAGATGTTTTTTTATCACAATCATTGCAAAACAAAAACACATCACTCTAAATGTTAAACACTTGAGATCCAGGTTTAAATCAGAGGGGAAGGCTTAGTGCCCTGACATCTGAGGCACCAGGCTACCTCAGGTTATGTTGGTCTAACACGATTTAGCCTGTTAACCTCGTTTAGTCTGGAGCCCTATTTAATCTGGTGCTTTTGCGTTTAAAATTGTTTAACTTTGAACCATAACATGTTTTTAAATGGAGAAGCTTGGAACTGAACGTACAGTACTTTAAAAAGATTAACTCGACCCGTGTAACTTCAAAACGATGTAACTTTCCTCATGTCTATTGTAAAAATGTGTAAGCAGTTTAAACTGGAACCTTTTTAAATCAACAGTCTTAACCTGGATACACATCACTGTAACATGTGCTACTCTTGGTCTAACAGGGGTTAAACCTGGATTCTTGTTGGTCTAACACGGTGTAGCCTGGGACCGTGATGGTCTAACACGGTGTAGCCTGGGACCGTGATGGTCTAACACGGTGTAGCCTGGGACCGTGATGGTCTAACACGGTGTAGCCTGGGACCGTGATGGTCTAAGACGGTGTAGCCTGGGACCGTGATGGTCTAACACGGCGTAGCCTGGGACCGTGATGGTCTAACACGGTGTAGCCTGGGACCGTGATGGTCTAACACGGTGTAGCCTGGGACCGTGATGGTCTAACACGGTGTAGCCGGGGACCGTGATGGTCTAACACGGCGTAGCCTGGGACCGTGATGGTCTAACACGGTGTAGCCTGGGACCCTGATGGTCTAACACGGCGTAGCCTGGGACCGTGATGGTCTAACACGGTGTAGCCTGGGACCGTGATGGTCTAACACGGTGTAGCCGGGGACCGTGATGGTCTAACACGGTGTAGCCTGGGACCGTGATGGTCTAACACGGTGTAGCCTGGGACCGTGATGGTATAACACGGTGTAGCCTGGGATCGTGATGGTCTAAGACGGTGTAGCCTGGGACCGTGATGGTCTAACACGGCGTAGCCTGGGACCGTGATGGTCTAACACGGTGTAGCCTGGGACCGTGATGGTCTAACACGGTGTAGCCTGGGACCGTGATGGTCTAACACGGTGTAGCCGGGGACCGTGATGGTCTAACACGGCGTAGCCTGGGACCGTGATAGTCTAACACGGTGTAGCCTGGGACCCTGATGGTCTAACACGGCGTAGCCTGGGACCGTGATGGTCTAACACGGTGTAGCCTGGGACCGTGATGGTCTAACACGGTGTAGCCGGGGACCGTGATGGTCTAACACGGTGTAGCCGGGGACCGTGATGGTCTAACACGGTGTAGCCTGGGACCGTGATGGTCTAACACGGTGTAGCCTGGGACCGTGATGGTCTAACACGGTGTAGCCGGGGACCGTGATGGTCTAACACGGTGTAGCCGGGGACCGTGATGGTCTAACACGGCGTAGCCTGGGACCGTGATGGTCTAACACGGTGTAGCCGGGGACCGTGATGGTCTAACACGGTGTAGCCGGGGACCGTGGTCTAACACGGTGTAGCCGGGGACCGTGGTCTAACACGGTGTAGCCTGGGACCGTGATGGTCTAACACGGTGTAGCCGGGGACCGTGGTCTAACACGGTGTAGCCGGGGACCGTGGTCTAACACGGTGTAGCCGGGGACCGTGATGGTCTAACACGGTGTAGCCGGGGACCGTGGTCTAACACGGTGTAGCCTGGGACCGTGATGGTCTAACACGGTGTAGCCGGGGACCGTGATGGTCTAACACGGTGTAGCCTGGGACCGTGATGGTCTAACACGGCGTAGCCGGGGACCGGTGTCAAAGTCAACCCCAGTTCACTCCGGTGCCCCCCCCCCCTACTAACCCCACCCCCACCCCGATATGACCCCCCCCCAATCTCTCAGACCCCCGCCCCTCGCGCCCCCCCCGCCCCCCCCCGCCCCCGCTCTGACCTCCCCCGCCCCCACGTGCGCGAGGCCTCTGCTCACGGCTGCCCGGGGTCACGCGGAATCGATCCAGCGTCTTCGATTCCGCTCGTTGAATCGACGAGCAATGGCAAAAAAGCGATCCTCTCTGTCCGATTCGTGTTGAGTTTTTCGCAGTTGGGCAAGGGTTGCTTTGGAATGAGGATCAGAATAGTTATTAATACTGGAGATTCCACGTTGCTGTGCCGGGGGTCCGGTATAGCCGTAGGACATTTAATGCTGAGTTTATAACCAAAGTGGTAATAATTTGTAATAACCCCCGCCCCCCCCCTCCATCAGATGGACCATAACATCTAATTAAAATAAACTGGTCTAACGCACCAATGATATTGTTTACGAACCATGACCCAATCATCACCACCACCAAATGTGGTCGATAAACGCACTTTAACAATCTACGGGGGAGTCGATTCGACCTTAACTCGTGGCGTCGATTCCCAGTGAGCGGCCAATCGTGCGCGCGCGTCGCCGCCACCAGCACAGGGCGAGGCAGTCGAGGGCCGACGAGAGGCTCGCCATCGATGGGGGGTGGAGCTCTGTGAGGACGTCGATTGGGGACACGGCAGGCGGCGCAAGGTGGGGGGTGGGGGTGAGGAGTGAGGGGGTCAGGGGGTGCGAGGGGTGCGAGGGGGTGCGAGGGGGGGTGCGAGGGGGTGCGAGGGGGGGGCGAGGGGGTGCGAGGGGGGGGGCGAGGGGGGGGAGGAGGGGGGGCGGGGGGCGGCGAGGGGGGGGCGGGAGGGGGCGAGGAGGGGGAGGAGGGGGGGGGAGGAGGGGGGGCGGGGGGGCGGCGAGGGGGGGGGCGGGAGGGGGCGAGGAGGGGGCCGAGGGGAGCGCGAAGGGGGGAGAGGGTTGGGGGCGAGGAGTGGGGGGGGGGCGAGGAGGGGGAGCGAGAAGGGGGGGCGAGGAGGAGGGGGGGGCGAGGAGGAGGGGGCGGGGCGATGAGAGGGGGCGGGGCGATGGGAGGGGGCTGCAGAATCGATGCGGTCGACGCTCCATTTGCCTCTGGATTTCTTAGGCTTCTTCCTCGGCGCTGGTGGCCACGCGAGCAGCGTCTCGCCGTCAAAAACAAAAAAAAAACCCCGCGAGGAGCTCTCAAGGAGAGCGATTTTCTTTTAAAATATTCACCTGAAAGTGAAGAACTCGTTCGCGTGTAAAACAACCCGCGGTGTTTTTGCTTTAGCAAATGAACGGCGATAAAAGTGCTGCGCATTGTGACTCGGGGTAAGGGGATCGCGACGATGTCGCCGCCCCAGTCCCTCTCCTTCCACATCCTCGGAGTGCCTCGTTGAGTAGAAATCTGCGCAGCTGTAGAAATCTGCGCAGCTGCTGGAGCTGCTGCTTCAAAGCGGTGACAGCATCGGCGTCCTTTATTTAAACCAGGTGAGACACCAGCACCACCACCTCTCCGCGTGAGATTAATTCATTCAATTTGTTTGTTAACAAGGTGGGAGACTGGCCCAGAGGTGACAATGCGGAGCCGGTAACCTTAAGCCTCAAATCTAGAACATCTTGAGAGAGTTTTGGTGCTGGGCAAGCGGGCAAATGCCCCCGGTCGTGAATGTTGTTAAAATTATTTGGGGGGTTGTTGTTACTGCTGTTTCACAGGTCGACCGAATGATAAACACCGGTTACATCGAGTTGCCCGTAGAAATGTCTCGCAGTAAACATAATTTGTTTTGTTTTTTTAAATATATAAATACAAACCTGTGTAAGGAAGGCAGCTGCCGGACGGGTGTGATGGTTAGGGGCACTCACTGGACTTGCAATCCAGACGTCGTCGGTTCCATTCGGTCTCCCTGCGCGGCACTTGAAACAACGTGGTTCCTTAACTCGCCTCTGCCCATCCACCAGCACGCCACAGTGTAAGGGGCCGGCCATAAATGACGTCACGCACATAGGGGCGGGGGAGGGGGGTTCAGACAATTGTGACGAGGGGGGGGGGTTGAGAAATGTGACGTCACGTCAAAATGCGCAACTTTAAAAATAAATATAGAGTTATATTCTTGGTTCTTTCGGTAAAGTCACGTGGAAGGGAAACAATAAAATGATAAAAATATAAAACAATTATATCCACTTTAGTGGGACATTCTCTTAAGACGAAACGTTGCACAGCATTGTGTGAGATAATGGATTATTTTTGGCCTCGTGACATGACACTGTAGCACAATCAAGATATTCTTTGTGGGAAATTAAAATCAGTCGTTGAGATTGACTTTCTTTAACCAGGGAGACTGTTGAGATTCATTCTTAATTTAACCTGGCAATATCCAATTAGATTCATTTTAAGAAAGGCCGTGTTCACAACTGGTCTTGAGCCTGGACTTGAACGGGAGACAGGGAGTCGACAGCACGAATGGCTGGGAGAAAGGGGACTGTAGACTTGGGGGGGGGGGGCAGCAGAGGAGAATAAGCAAATAACAATACTAATAAATGGTAAAAACGAGACGAAACAGATCAGACATTGAATCACTACTCTTGAAAGTCTTCAATATTAAAGCTCCAGCATTCACCTTCCCTTTGCTAAGCCATGCAAGACCCCGCTGATGGAGAGTCTTTACCTTCCGACCCCAACTCTCTCCCCGCGCTGCTCCCTTCCCTGTTCAGGATGGACGGCCCCCGTGCAAGGGGGCCCGCGGCCGGACGGGGCCGTGGTCGAGGAGGGGTCCCCCCCAGGTCTCCGGGGAGCGCGTGGGCGGCGGGGGTGCCCGGAGGAGTTGCGGGGTCGCTTTTCCCGGGCGGTAGAGGTCGGGCTGGCACCCCTGCTCGCCCTCCAACTCCGGTGGCAAGAGGTCAACCGGGACCAAATATGGGGCCCGCTGCTGGTGGGGTGAAGGTGGCGCGTGGGGGCGCATCCACGGACGGTAAGAGAGACAGCTGTGGTTGAGCGAGAGACAAATACAGTCACGGGCAAACTCGTTATCCCCACATCTCCTTGTTCCCCAATGTGACCCATGTACCCATTCCTCCTTGCCGTGTCTGTATTCCTGTGTCTCCCCTTCACCCCCTGCCTCCATGTTTTTCTCTCCCCTTTTCCTCTGTGTTCCTGCATTAACATTTCCCCTTGAACCCCATGTTCCGTTCTCTTCCGTGTCTTGTCCATTTCTTCTTGTATCCCCCATAATCCCATTGTGCCTGTGTTCTTCTTTATTCCTTTCCCTTCTCTTCCATGTCCCTGTGTCCCCGTGTCTCTTGGTTGTATGACTCTGTGTCCCGACATCTCCTTGTGCCCGTATATCTTGTGTCTCCCTGCTCTCTTCATCCCCGTGTCCCCATGTCGTTACCTCTCTTTTGTCCCCGTGCAACTGTGTGCGCATCCCCCTCCATCCAACCCTTGTCCCTGTACCAGGCCGCTCAGCCCAGCAGAGATTCCACGAGGCTCAACTTGCCAACCAGGCGGCCGCCAGAAAATTCACCAGCGATTGCGACAGGTCCACCTCCTCCGATGATGACGACGACGATGAGGATAACGACGTTAAGGAAGCGCAGAGCAACACAATCCTGGACTCGGCGCTCCGCCAATACACTGGGCAAGCAGGCAAGTGCTTAAATGTGCATGTATGCATGCGTACATGTGTGTACGCACATACCGTATTTGGCATGCACTGGTTTCGCCGCCCCCTCCCCTTACAATTGCATGAATTATGACAATTTGGGGTCGAATATTTATCCAATTATGGATATTTTTACAGTCTCGTTTGTACTAACCCGTTCGTGTTGTTTCTCATTTTCCCTGTCTTGTTCCCAGTTTTTTTTAAATCTCCATGAGTCGAAATGTAACATGAGAATACTTTTTGCATGTAATGTGTAAAATGTGCATAATTACTCGCATGCATTGATGCATGTACAATGTCCGCATTGAATTCAATCAAATATTAATTACATTGGTAAATGTCTATTCATCCCCCTATGTGTTCCCGTGCGCCAAAGCATCTACGCGTGGCAGGGCGGCACAGTGGTAACACTTATGCTTTACAGCAAGAAGGACCTCTGTGGAGTTTGTATATTATCCTCCTGTTCTGCATGGGTTTTCTCTGGGTTGTTTGGTTTCCTCCAATAGCAACAAAAAAAATAACACGACATAACTGGTGTTCATATTCTTTGGTTATTTCGGTAAAGTCACTTAGAAAATAGTAATAATAAAAATAAAGTGACTAAAAATATCAACACAACTGAAAAGTGGTGGTTGTCACAAGTGGTTGTCATCAGGCTAAGGTGTTAGCCTCTAAAGGCAAACTGTTTATAAAGGTTTGGGGAACCTCCAGACAGATAGTCTTCAGACTCCTAGGTACACAGGCATAATCTGCCTGTATATCTCTATGCATCTGTCCATGTGTCTCCAGTACCAGCCAGTAGTCTCAGCCCTCTGTACAACATGTGCATCTCCATTTGCTGTGCTGCAATGCCTTAATAATAATGCCTTTTACTTGCCCAGCAACGAACTCTGTCATGGATTATTTTTTGACAAATTCTATTAATGAGTGTTTGGCTTCATGTGGAAAGAAACTGGAGAAACTCCACCGAGGTACATGAGTTGATAACACAGCCATCTACTGGCCACCTTGCAGCCCCATAACCTACTATGTCTTGTGGGAAAGCCCCGGGGGGTCGACCATGCAAGCACTAATCGAGCTCCATCCCCTGCGTGCGTGTAGGCACGGAGGGGGCGGTTGTGCTGGAGAGGACGAGGCAGCTGCTTGAGGAGTGTCTGCAGTCGGGGGCGCTCTCCTGTCTCGTGTGCATCAGCAGCGTGAAGCGCACGCACGCCGTGAGCACGCGCGCGTTTGGCACATATAGCACACACTACACACACCACACACACACTATGAATGGTGTACACCACGCACACACGCATAGCTTACACCACTCATACACTCTGAATGGTGTGCGCCACACATGAATATCATACACCAAACACACGCTGTGAATGGTGTAAACCATACACCACATGCACACATAGCATACACCACACACACTGTGAATGGTGTACACCATACACATGCATAGCACACACGGCAAGCTGTAAGCACACGCCACACTCGCACACACTGCACAGCATGCATCGCTCACACACGGTACAATGGAACACACCACACACAGGACTCAGGGGAATCATACACTGTGTACACCATACGTGCACACTAAGTGGTGTACACTTAGTGTATACCACACATTCACACATTGCTTGCACAGCTGCACCCTACGTGCACGCATACAGAATATCCCGCACATGCATCCCCACGTACTACTTGTAACCATGTGCACTGCATGTACCCGTCTGCATTGTGTCTAATCGTATGTATTGCATGTACCTATGTGTATTGAGTGTATCCATATGTATTGTGTATATGCGTGCGTGCAGGTGTGGAGCTGCATGGGATGCTACAGCGTGTTTCACCTGCCGTGTGTGCAGCAGTGGGCTCGGGACAGCGCTCGCCTCGCTGTGCCCTCCCCGCTCTCCCCACAGCTCTTCCCGGCTGTCGACACGCCCTGGCACTGGTGCGCATGGGGATACATGGGGGGGGGAGGGAGGACGGAGGGTTTTCGCCTTTGCGAGGCAGAATGTAGGGGCGGCCGCGAACTTTAAAGTGTTCCTGAAAAGTAGTTTATTACAGTCTTTCGTCAAAATTAATAAGCAGCCAATATATCGCCTTGATATATCTATCCACATACAAACTAAACGTATTATCACACTCTCCATTAACCAGGAGGCCTTTTGGGAGTCCACTATTTCAGAAGATGGGTGCAATACAAGCACACTTTGTACCGGTTTTGACAGGCAGTGTGTCATCAGTAGAGTCTAGGTTGCTTGAACCAATGCTGGTGAGCTCCCAGGTGTTATAGGTAAGAAGCCACTATTAGTTGTGGGTCACAATCTTTTAGTCTATCAACTTTACGACGAATATTCCGAGCTCTAATCGCAGCGCGTCCCCACGGTGCGCGTGCAGCCCCAAGTGCCGTCACGAGTACACGCGGAAGGAGGCGCCCAGCGTGTACTACTGTTGGTGCGGCCGGGAGCCTGACCCCCGGCCCGACCCGTGGCTCGTGCCACACTCGTGCGGGGAGGTGTGCAACCGCGAGCTGCGGCCGTCCTGTGGCCACCGCTGCCTCCTGTTGTGCCACCCGGGTAACTCATACACTGGTGTACATAAAAACACGCACGCATGCATGCAGGGGGCTGCCAATCCACGCACGCATGGCTGCCCACCCACCTACACAAACCTACAAAGACAAAAATGTTGGCCACCCACCCCCTCGTGTGCCGTTCTGGTCTTCATAGGTGCTCGCTAAAAGCACTTGCCCCAACAGTCCGTTAAGGTTGTACAGCAGATATTTGTATTTGCCTTTGTGTCTTGACATGTTTTTATTCACTCCTTGTGTGCATGCCCCCCTGCTCCCAACTCCCCACCCCCCAATGCCCCCGTGCAGGCCCGTGCCCCCCTTGCCCCCAGGTGGTACGCGTCCCATGCCACTGTGGAGGAGGCGGCATTCAGAGCCGGCGCTGTGGGGGGCGTGCGTGGTCGTGCGGCACCCCCTGCGGTCGCGCCCTGCCATGCAGGCAGCACAAGTGCAGCGTAACGTGCCACGCAGGTACGCACGGCGTGTATACACACACACGCATCGTGCATGCACACGCATCGTGCATGCACATACGCTACGTGGGTATGCAGTTCTTGCCTCCACAGACTATTTGGGGGATCATTGTTTTGTGTGTGTTTATGTGGTCTATGTAGGTTGTGGGCAACTATAATATAGCGGTTAGCGCTCTACGCTACAATCCCAGCCACCCGAGTTTGATGCCCACTCATGGCCAACACCAGTGAGAAATATCTGAAATGGTCCTGCGCCTTCCCGAGGTCGATTCGGCCCCAAAATTAGTACCTGGTATGGTGTGTAAACATCAGCACTGAAGAGACAAAGGCGACCGGGCATGGTGCTGGTGACCCCCGCCCCCTTGTGTGCCGTGCTTACCTTCATAGGTGCTAGTTAACAGCACTTGCCTCAACAGTCTATTCAGGCTATACAGGGGGACCTTTGTCTTTGTGTATGTAGGTGAGTGTCCCCTGTGCCCGCATGTGAGCTCCCAGCTGTGCTGCTGTGGGACCTCGCTTGCTATGAGGCCGTGCAGCTCTCCTGAGTGGCAGTGCATAAAGGTAACATGTGAGCACACACACAAACACCCACACGCATGCAGAAATGCGCACACACACTAAGACATAGTCATACACACGATTACACACCTATGAGTCTTACCCATAATGCAATGCATGCATAGTAAGCGTTAGCCTTGATTTTAATCAACGAATCGATGCATTATTACATGCCTAAAGCAGTGCACGATGAACCTGTTCAGTTCCTGGCCACAGTTAAAGAGCAGTACGGAATATGTGAACCGGTCCTTGGTTTCCCATTAGTTGACTCGGCCTTCCCTGATTACCAGATGTAACGTGTTAATAAACATCAGCATTGGGGAGAGGCAAAAGGGGCCATGTGTGGTGATGGCCACATTACTTTCTCATGGTTGCAAACAGCACGCTCCCCAACAGCCTATATCGGTTATACGGGAGATTTCAATGCTTATCTGTGCATCAGGCACCTCGATTATCACAGTTGGCTACATACAGTGTGAAAGAAGTTCATTATACATCATAAGTGTGCATCTGTGTATATCTGTACACGTGTGCTCTGGTGTGTATGGGTGTGTGCATGTTTATGTGCATGAAGGCCTTAAAGTGCAAAGTACACAAGTGTGAGCATGTTTGTATACTTGGGGAGTGGTAGTGTCGCGGTTCGTGCTACAAACCCAGCGACCCAAGTTTGATTCCCACTCACAGCCAACATCGGTGACCAATATCCGAACCGGACCTGGGTCGACTCGGCCTCAAATGAGTACCTGGTGCGGTGTGTAAGCATCGCCACAAGGGAAGCAAAGGCAGTCTGGTGTGGTGCTAGCCACCCACCTCCTTGTGCGCCGTGCTGGCCTTTGTAGGTGCTCGCGAAGAGCACTTGCCCCAACACGGGCGGGTCTTTGTCTGTGTATGTCTCCGTGTCAGGTGTGTGGGAAGGCATTTGACTGTGGCGTACACACGTGTGAGCTCGTATGCCACGCGGGGGCGTGCGGTTCGTGTCCACGCTCCGGGGAGCGCAGCTGTCCCTGCGGAAAGACAAGTACGCACACGCGCACATGCGCACACGAGCGTGCACGCATTCACCCGCTCACACACTTTCACACACAAGTACCTCGTGCGCACACTCAGGATTTGCATATGCACACGCACATGCCTGCAAACACAAGTGTACAAAGACACATAAACACGTGCACACGTATTTGTACACGCACATACGCATGTATATACATGTGCATGTACATGTGTGTGCTCAAGGACATGTGCACATTCACTTGCATGGTGATAACTTTCAAGTGGAAGATGAGATGATGGGACAGCTCTGACAATAATTGCGGTGACTGTTGAAAAATTGTTGACGCTGGCAATTCATAATTATGTAGACGATGGTAACAATGGTGATGGTGATCATGGATCATGATGTCGCTGATGGAAATGAAGCCAATGATCATGACACGGCTGATGAGGCATCTTATGATGTTGGCAATGCCGACCACACCGGTCAATACTGATGATACCGTCGATGGCAATGATGATGACAACAACGCCGATTATGCTGACGCCGCTTCTGCTGATGACAATGTTGGTAACGATGCTGCCGATGAGGCTGCTGCTGCTGCTGCTGATTATGATGGTGATGCTGGCGGCCAACCCTGCAGGGTGCTCCTTGCCATGCACGGAGGAGGTGCTGCTGTGTGGGGACACGTGTGGCCGCCTCTTGTCATGCGGCGTCCACACCTGCGCACAGCGCTGTCACCGTGGACCCTGCGACACCTGCCGGCAGGTGAAGGGGCGGGGACTGGGTGGTCAGGGGTAGGGCTGAACGATTTGTGGAAAATCTCTAATTGCGATTTTTCTGACAGATATTGCGATTTGATTTGCGATTGCATTTTTTAAAGTCAATGTTTAATAGATCTAAACCATGTGATGGAGCATTACCACATGATACCATCAAAATATGAACTGCTCTATGTATTCTAATGCAAGGATGAGAACTTAAAATATGTGAATTGCTTCCAACATGTATTTATTAAAATGTTTTAATTGAAATAGAATAGAACAATGAAGCATAGAGCAATTTTATTTTTTGATTTAAAGCTTTCGTGACTGCAGTAATTCATATTCTTAGTTTTTTCGGTAAAGTCACGTTGAAGAGAAACAACGTGACTTTACCGAAAAAACTAAGAATACATAGAGCAATTGTTAAGTTAAATAAATAAAGTTATAATATTAAAAAAGATAACAATTACAATAAGAGAGTAATAGGACTTTTCAAATCGCAAAAATTCGCAGCCTTTGCGGTTTGCTAATCGCATTGTTTCAAACTGCGATTTCGACTTGAAATCGATTAATCGTTCAGCCCGAGTCAGGGGCTGGCCAAGATTGGGCATAGCAGTGCTGGCCTTGGTGAGGGTTTGCTGGTCTGCGTGTGAGTGTCTGTGTTGTTTCCGTGTCCCTGTGTCCCCGTGCAGGTGGTAGAGAAGGTGTGTCGGTGCGGCCGCCATTCGAAGGCGATGCCGTGCCTCAAGGAGTATCTGTGCGACACGCGCTGCACCCAGCAACGCACCTGCCAGCGCCACGCCTGCCGGCGCAAGGTGCGTACGTCCACACACGTGTATTTGTGCATCGTAACAACATCACTACCCCTCGTTTGCCCCAGTGGCCCTAATAGGCACTCGCTAACTAACATCAATCTGTCTCGACAGGCAGTCCATTTCATTTGGCTTATCTTTGTATGTCAGGCTTGTTACCAATACGTCAACCATCGTTGATGCTTCTCTGTGCCCCGATGTGTTCCTGCATGTCCCCGTGGGTCCCTTTGTGTTCCTCTGTGTCCCTACTTGTCCTTTTGACCCCGTCTTCCCGGGTACCTGTCCTCTCTCGGTGTGCCCACCACTCCACAGTGCTGTGACGGGAACTGCCCACAGTGCGACCAGGTGTGCGCCCGTTCCCTCTCCTGCAAGAACCACAAGTGCTCCTCCATTTGTCACCCCGGTGAGATGTGTGCAGGGCATCGTGCCTGTGGGGGTAGGGGGGCAGTTGGGCATGCATGGATAGGGTATGTGCAGCGAGGCATTGGTGAGGAGTGCGATATGTGGCGAGCGTGGCGGGCAGTGCGAGTGAGTAGCGAGCGCGCGAGGTGTGCGTGGTGAGTGTGAAAAGCGTGGAGGTGAGTTGTACGGTGAGTGTGGTGACAGTGTTAAGAGTTGTGAGTGCGGTAGCTCCGTGCATGATGAACGCGGTGAGCGTGGCGGGTGTGTGGTGACTGTGCCATGCCTCTGTGCTTCAGGCAGCTGCTATCCGTGCGGGGTGAGCGTGGAGGTGAGCTGTGCATGCGGATCCACAAAGGTCACGGTGCCGTGCGGTAGGGAGAAGCACACGCGCCCCCCGCGCTGCAAACAGCTGTGCAGGTGCGAACCCCATCCCACCACTACGTTCCTTACACCCCCTGTCCGTGCGTCCCCACTTGTGTACGTACAATACACTCGAGATTTCTCTAGCAGCGTCTAAATGTGATCGCATCTCAAGAACCTGTAAAAAAACACTATGAGCATAGTTTTATGAAAAAAAAGAACCATGTCTGGTGTATTCCTGTGTGTATGTACGTGCCCTTGTCTCAGTGTGTCCTCGTGAACCTGTGTTTGTGTCCCTATGTGTACGTGCATGCTTGCGGGCATATGTGGGTATGTATTCATGCGCGCGTGTGTTTGCGTTTATCCCCTGTGTGTGTACATGCTTGTTTGTGGATGTGCACGCGCACGTGTGTGTGTACATGTGTTTGTGGATGTACGCGTCTGTGTAAATGCATGTTTGTGGATGTGCCCACATGTGTGTTGCTTGTGCAGCGCCCAGTCGGACTGCCACCATGCGGCACGCGAGCCCCACCGCTGCCATGGGGGGCTGTGTCCCCCGTGCCGCCAGACATGTCGCCTCCCGCTCAAGCCGTGCGGGCACGTGTGTCCCGCCCCGTGCCACGATAACGACACGCTCGCCGAGCCCGCCGCGGTGAGTCGCACTCGCACACACGAAACAACACACACAAATGCACACTCAAAGACGCAGGCTAACACCGCCCCCGTATAGCCCTTAAAATAAACTAAATTATTTCTATTTTACAAGGTAAGGCCCAATGAGCCATATAGCTCTTTTTCAGAAGCGATCTGGCCACATATGATAGCTCAGCTAATTGGCTTGTCACGTGGAAATTCATAGCAGCCAAATACTCAAAACGCATTATTCTAAATGTGGAGGGAAAAACTGGAGGACCCGGAGAAAAATCCACACGACCACGGGGAGAGACACATGCAAACTTCAAATTTACAGGCGTCAGGGTCTGGATCGAACCCATGAACCTCCTGCTTACCAGGTAGGTAACATCTCGCCACTGTGACGCCCCATAACAGACTGTTGGACCAAGTGCTGTTTGCGAGCTCCTTATTACGCCGGCAGGGCACACGAAGGAGGGAGTGGGCGGCCAGCACCCCACCCGGCTGCATTTGTCTCCCAAGTGCTGATGTTTTTATACACCACACCAGGTACTCACTTGAGGCTGAATCGACCGAAGAGAAGCCCAGGACCGGTTCAGATACTCACCACTGTTATTGTTCGTGATCACCGGGTTCATCATGCAGAGTGCTTACCACTACGCTACCGCTCCCCACACACACAGACAAATACGAACAAAGTTACACAGACAAAGTTCCCCTTGTCGCAGTACAGACTGGAGGGGCAAGTGCTATTGTAGTGAGTGTTGATTAAGGGTGTCGTGGCCTTAATAGGTGCTCACACACACGCTGCCTCTTATAACGCTGTTTCTTTTTCATGTTCTTTGTCCGGGAGGAAAATTCCTGTGAGGATCAGCCCATATATGGAAGAAAGTAGGTGTGGTGTTGCCCGTAGGCGCATGTCTTTGCCCATATATGTTCTTGTGGAACCTGCGCGGAGGTGTCTATTGTATCGATTCTGCTCATAATCGAACCGATTGCTATGTTAAAGTGTCGATTTTGTTAAGGGTTATTCACTGCATCGATTCATTGCCAAGCAATGGATTGAGTAATCCCCTTGGTAAGTATAGCTTCCCGCGGAACGTGTATTTACGGCAGATGGTTAATCTTATGCAAGCTCAGACTGAATGCACTGGTGTGTACATAGCTTATTATATTTTTATGTCATAATTAAAAGTTATTATTTTTAAAATGCTATAATACATTTGTAGTGGTTTCCACGCAGACACACACTTGACTTTGGAGACAACAGGTTTATTCTAACACCCCAACAGGGTAACTATATAAACGTACCGGATAATGACATAGGTGGTAACTACAACGGGAACTAGACTACAACGGGGTAACTACACAACCGGGTAACTAGACCTTAACGGGGTGACTACATAACCGGGTCAGGTCAGTAACATATTGCCTGACCCACGATGCTGAACGTGATGACCGAAGACCAAAGAGTCGTAGCACGGCGGGTTGATTCCAGAAGACAGCCCGGATCGCCTCTCGGGACCTCCCTTTTATGCCCCCGAGCATGGCCTGCTTCCACCCTTCTGGATCCTACCAGAAGGTTTTTGGCCATACATCACGTGTCCCTCTCGCCACCTTTTGGCCCCCCTCGCTACCCTGTCTTGGTCACGTTCCCTCTCGGGTTCACCCAGACTGTCATGTCCTTAACTGCCCCCTCTCTGACAGTCACCAGAACCATGCTCCACAGAGCCCCTTTCCATGTCATATATACTCTGGTGCCAGAGAAAGGCTCTAACACGCACAGTTCCACTCTTGTACGAGTAGTTGGCGCTAAACCCCGTCGTGACTCAATATGCGTCACTACATATTTATCATGTGTACACTCATTAATGAGGCTATTACCGATGCCCCAATGAAGCCCTCGTATATCGCTCATAGGTAAAAAATAGCGCTTTCGGTAACGTATAGCGTTCCGTTATCAAAAATGCATCCTGAGTGATAAAAGAGGTATGCCTGTACACAGAAGTACACAATTACACAAACAAGCTAGCACAGTGTACAAACTGCTGCATTACTGTGCCCTGCTTTTACATTCATGTGTATATATACACATTATATAAATATATGGGGTGGAGCAGTTGCACAGTCGTTTGCACACTGCACCATGAACCTAGCAACCTGAGTTCGATTCCCAGCCACGGCGAGTGATATCTGAACTGGTCCTGGGCGCGGCTTTACTCAATCCACACTGACCAACGTGGTGGAGTATTGTCAAACAACCAACATGTCCAACACAAGGTCTTGTGGGTACCTGTACATCTCTACATATATCTGCGGATGTCTGTACATGACTGCAATCTACAATGCTCCTAAACGTTTGCACGCTCGTGTTTCTGCCCATGCATTGGTGCATGTGCCTGTGCGTGTGTGTGTGTGTGCCCGTGCGTTTGTGTACGTGCAGGCTCAGCGCGCTGGCCCCTGGGAGCTGCCGGCGCCAGTGGTGAAACGGGCGGTGTCGTGTCCACCATGCATGCAACCCACCCCCACGTATGTACACGTACCCATGCGCACGGCTCACGTGTGTACGATACAACACAAAGACCCCCCCGTATAGGGCAACTGCTGTTAGTGAGCACCTATGAAGGCCAGCACGGCACACAAGGGGGTGGATGGCCAATTGTCTTCACAGGGTTGATGTTTACACACTGCACAAGGTGAAGATGAAAGTCTGAGTAGACTTAGGAGAGGCCCTAGATCAGTTAAAATATTCACCTATGTTGTTGATTGTGAGCTGGGATCAAACTCGGTTGCCAGATTTGTAACGAAGTGTGCTAACCACTGCACTTCCGCTCCTCACTGACACATACCCATGCACACAGCCCACGTGTACAGACACAGACTATGTATACATACATAGCCCACACACCCTCGCATACAGCTCACATATGTGCATACAGTAGGTAGACCCACAAACACCCACACACTGGCCATATATGTACACACTCCTGTGTAATAGACCACAGTTGGAGGATGTTATGTTCATCATTGTAATATGAATCTGTATTAACATGTGTACGTGTGTGCATGTCCGTACGTACATGATTTTGTGTTTGCGTGTATATTTCAGGAAATGCCTGGGAGGCCATGAGGTGAGCACTGCACACCCACGGACTTCAACTCGCGTTCACACGCATTAAAACCCGTACACTGAATCTCCCGTGTAGGAGTACAGTGTGAAAGTTGTTGCGGCGCCGTGTGGATGTGGCATTGCGATGATGACGTGGTTTGTGGTGTGACGTGTTATATGCTGATGGTTTGAAATGCTGAGTGGTGTGGTTTGGTGTAACGTGAGATAGTGACGAGTATGCTAGTAGCGTGGTTTCATGCAGTGTGATGTGACATACTGGTTTTGCAGTGTGCAGTTCGGTATGACCCTCGTGCTGGTCGTCCATTGTAACACGGTGGAGTGTGACGTGTTTGTTGTGTAGTGCAGCACATGCATGTGCGCATGTGTGCGTGCGAATGCTTTGTGGTTTTGTGCACTGCGCTACTAACCCAGTCGCTTGAATTTGATTCCCGGCCGTGGCTAACATCAGTGTCGAGTGATATATGAACCGGTTCTGGGTCTCCCCTAGGACGACTCATCCACAAATGAGCATCTAGTACGATGTGTGAACATCACCACCGGACATAAAATGGTGGACAGGAGTGGTTCTGGCCACAGGACCCCCCCCGTGCACTGTGATAACATTAAAGTGGTGCTCAGTAATAGCACTTGTCCCAGCAGTCTGCGTCGGGTATACGGGAGATCTTTGCGCGTGTGTACGTGTGTGTACGTGCATGCAGGAGAGTGCGTTGCCGTGTCACGCCGCGCGCCCCTCCTCGTGCGGCCGTGCGTGTGGTCGATTGCTGGCGTGTGGGAACCACACCTGCTCGCTGGTGTGCCACGCGGTCACGGGCTCCGGCCTACAGGTGTGTACACGGTATCTGCATGCAGTGTGTGTACGTGCATTAGTGTACGCGTGTATGTCATAACCAACCCCTTGTGTGCAGTGCCGGCCTTCATTAGTGCTCGCTAAAGGCACTTTCCTTTTCCGTATGTTAAGGTTATAAGGGGGTTCTTTGTTTTTGGTGTGCGATGTACGTGCCAGGCCGGCCCGGAGTGTGCGGTGTGCGAGGAGGGGTGTGCACGGTCCCGCCCGGAGGGGTGTACCCACCGGTGCAAGCGCCGGTGCCACCTGGGCCCCTGCCCGGCCTGCACACACACCATACGCACACCCTGCCACTGCACACTCGTGTCCATCCATCTGTCCTGCAGGTGTGCATGTACACAACACACACAGTGGTAATCACCATACATGCGCACACACACACACACACACCACTCCTCAGTACACAACAAGGTACACACTGCCTCTCAAACGCACACGCCAAATCAACAATGCACGCCGACACATGCACACGTTGCATAACACATTTACACACTAAAATGCACCCCACACATGCACTGATGTCCACTCTTGTATGTATGCATGTTGAACTTCTTTTGCACCGTACGCAGCCAACCGTGCTAATCGGAGGTATGGTGAAGGATAAAAAACTAATCACAAAAAGCAGTTCCCTATGTATCTTTCATATTGTCACTTGGCTGTGTCTCCTTGCATCTGTGTATGCATGTCTCCATGTCCCCGCCTCCTCCCATGTTGTCTCCTTGCGTATCCATGCCTCACCTTTGTGCTCACCCCCCCGCTGGTCCACACTTGGGCCTGGTGGCATCTCCACGTCTTCCGCGAGCACCCGCAATCTCGCGTGTGCCTCTGTGTGCCCTGCCCCACAGCGAGCTGCTCTCCGCCGGTGAGACGGAGCGAGACAAACTGCTCTCCTGCAAGAACCAGTGTCCGCGAAAGGTATGCACCGCACCCACCGTATATACGGTACGCACCACAGTGTATGTTCTAAGTGTGCGTGCGCTCGTGCGCGTGTGTTTAGCTGGTATGTTATTGTTGAGTTCTGCACTCTGTGTGTGTGTGTAGTTGGAGTGTGGACATCGCTGCCGCGCCCTTTGCCACCCGGGCGCGTGCCCGACCGGCGAGGCGTGTACGCACCGTGTGCGTGTGCGGTGTGCATGCACGCGCATCAAGAAGGTACCGCACACACATGCAAATTTGGGGTGTATGTGAGGAGTGCTAGTACAATGGTTAGTGTGCTGCGCTACGAACCCAGAGATTCGGGTTCGATTCCCGCTCACGGCCAACGCCAGTTACGGCCTCAAACATCTGGCGGGGAATGGAGTCATGGAGATGAATGCACATCTCCTTGCCAACCAGGTGTGCCTTGTCCCTACATGCACACAGGAACACAATGTACATGCAATTGTGTGCACACACGTGTCAATAAGAGTGTATGTGTGCGTCTTTACGTGGGGAGCGGCAGTACAGAGGTCAGCACCCTGCGCTGCAAACGCGGCGACCACAGTTCGACTCCCGCTTATAGCCAACATCGGCGATGAATATCTGAACTGGTCCTGGGTCTGCCCTAGGTCAACTAAGCCTCAAATGAGTACCTGGTGCGGTGTGTAAAATCATCATCACTGGGGAGACAAAGGCGGTCGCGCATGGTTCTAGACACCCACCCCCTCGCATACCGTGCCGGCCTTCAGAGGTGCTCGCTACCAGCACCTGCCCCAAGTCTGTTAACGCTTTATGGGGGATCTTTGTCTTTGTTGTGTTTGTGTGTGTGTGGGTTGTTCGTGGGTAAGTGCTGTGTTTGTTCACGATGTGTGGTGTTCTAATGTGCTGTGGTGTGTGTATGGTATGTGTGGTGTGATGTACATGGTATTTGTGGTGTGCTCACGTGGTGTTCTCTGTGGCTTGTATGCAGGACTCGGTGTGCTGGAAGGTTCAAACTGGCCAGCTACGTGTGGATTGCGATGAGGGGTGCGAAGAGGAAAAACACAAGCTCCAGCAGGTACATAATTGCCGAGTGATCGGTCAGCACTCTTAATTACTGAACCGTGGTGTTGTAATGCATTGTCTGTGTGGTGCATGTGTGGCTAAAATAGAATTAAGGCAGCCTGCACACATGTTTCCACCCTCCCTCAGCAGTTCACTTGGGAGGTCATCCCTGCCCTGGTCTCAGGCTCTGTATCGTGCTTTGCACCTTTAGGGCAGATGTGAAATCAACCATCCACTCACAATTGATGACTATTTCCTCTAACATTTGAGGCTATGCCACCGTCACAGCAAGTCACCCCCCTTGGCTCAAAATGTTATTTAACTGGAGGGGTTTTCCCTGTGTGAGTGGTGGGATAGAGAAGAGATGGCTCATGTAGTACATGAGGATGTGGAGCTGAGTGGACATACCGATGACTGGTACCAGCAGTGTCAAAATTGGCCTCTGTGGAGGAGACTCGTGAAGGATGCTACTGGGAAGTTGGAGACAGTCGCCCTCCAACAATTGAGGGAAGAGATGCAATACTTACAACACCAATCGGAGTGCCATCCAGCTAAAACGCAGCTAGCGGGCACAATTGGGAGCACAGGTGGTGCCTCTGCCATTCAGTCAACCCATGACACCTGTGTCCGTCCCATGATACTTCACGTGGCCTCAGAGTGCACCTAGGCTGGCATGGGCACTGTGGTGACATCCCTGCCTCTCAGTGGCGATTGGCGGATGTTATTGTTGTGGAATGGATCGGTGTGATATGCTCGGAATATGTGAGCGGTGCAAGTGGTGCAGGGTGCATCGTATAGTGTTCTTTGCTTGTGGTGCATGTGCGCTATGTGGTGTCGTGCGTGTGGTGTTTGTTGTGTAGGTGAAGTTGGCCGAGGAGCAGGCTGCCTTAGAAGAAGAGGAGAAAAAGAAACAGGTGATGCACACGGACACACCCAACTATACATGACACAACAACGGTCGCTATTCAGCACTTAGTGACAGTGACCTCACCATGGTGCTTGTACCAAGCGAGTTGCACTTTGAGCCCACGTGAAGTTGTCGAAGGCTTGCTAGCAGGAGGTCACGGAACAGCCCCAAGTGTTAAGGGTTAACTGGGATGACAACTTGGACATATACATACCCGTACTCATGAATTAACATCTCAACACAAACACACCTGTACATATACACACAAAGACAAAGATCCCCCATTATATAGCCTTTAATAGACTGTTAGGGCAAGAGCTGTTAGCAAGGAGCTTTGAAGGCTGGCATGGCACACGACGGGGTAGGTGGGCAGCACCGGCCGCCTTATCTCCCTCACGGCGATGTTTATTACACACCGTACCAGGTACTCGTTTGAAGCTGATTCGACCTAGAGGAAGCCCAGGACCGTTTCAGATAATCACTGGTCCTGGCTGTAAGTGGGAATCGAACTTGTGTCGCTAGAGTTTATAGCGCAGTGCGCTGACCGCTAAATTACTGCTCACCACACCCTTTTATACAGAGAAAAAGACAAAGATCCCCCCTATAACGTTAACTGACTTTTGGGGAAAGTGCTGTGAGCCATCACCTATGAAGGGCGGCACGGCACACGAGGGAATGGGTGGCCAGCACCACGCCCGGCCAACTTTGTTGCCCGAATAGGAATGTTTTCATATCACACCACGTATGCATTTGAGGCTGAATCGACCGAGGGAGTGGCCCAGGACTGGTTCAGATAATCGTCACTGGTGTTGGCCGTGAGCAGGAATCGAACTTGTGTCGCCGGGTTTGTACCGCAGCGCGCTAACTGCTAAGTGACCACTCCCCACACACCTTAGTACACGTATGCACACCTCCACCTATATGAACTCGCACTCAGCTGTGATTGTACACTTTACTTCATCATTTGAATTTGCCAGTGGGTTTGGACCTCCATGCTGCCACATGTCTCCGTGTCCCTATGTTTGTGTCTTCCTGTTACCCATCTCTACATCCCAGTGTGGGTGTGCATATTCCCTCTTTCCCATGTGTCACTGTGTCCCCATGTCTCGCTTTGTGTTCCCGTGTCTCCCCACCTATTCCCACGTGTCCTCGTGCATCCCCATGTCCTCTGCATCTTCTTTTATCTCTCTGTTCCTGCGGCCTGTCCCCCGTACGGTCCCCATGCATCCCTGTTTGTTCCCGTGCAGGCGGAGCTGGAGTCTTACGCGCGTCTCTTCGGGAAGAAGCGCCGTCGAGAGCGCTCGCAAGCACTCGCCACACCCGCTGCCTCGCACACGCGCAGAAACATCGCCATCACGGCCATCGCCACCACCATCATCGCCATCATCGCTTCCGCTGTCTCTTACATATACAAGGATTGATCATTACCCATCATCGCATTCATCGCCATCATCACAACCATCATCGCCATTATCACTAGTATCACCATCATCATCATTGCCATCATCACCATCATGACTATCAACTTAGGTGTCATCATTGACTCCGCTTAAATGGACTGAAGATTACACTTCACATCACTAGCATCACGGTCATCATCGTCATCATCACCATTGACATCATCACTGCCATAACCTAGGCCGGTTTGGACTAACACCCACCTTCGCCATAACCCTCGTCAGCACAGGTACACTCAATACTATAACAATGTTGGTGGTGGTGATATATTGATGCGGGCTGTTTACTTGAGGGTAATACAGTCATATGTTTGTTGTTGGAATAAATGGAGCTAATTATGTGATTAGACACACGACCCTAGGCCTACGCACACCAGACACACATCCGTACATCAATGTACCCCTTTTGTCATTCTATGAATTTTCACGATTTGGGGTGGCAATATTTAATCAAATAGATTATATTAACCAAGTTCCTAGTTGACAATCTTAGCCCGGCCACCAATGGCTGCACAAAAAAAGCCCATCGCATTATATATTGACCGCAGTGATTTTTTTATGGATTCTTGAATTTAACTGTGGCCCTGAATTGGAATATTTCATGCAACTGCAATGGGGTGAATTGTTCACCCGCTTCCACCCCATGAAAAACACTAAAGTCGTCCACTAAACTCGTCAACCACACGGTAAATAACACACCAGTCACTCGCACTCACCACACACACCACTCTTGCCCACCATGCACCATTATTGGCCACACACCACTCGTGTTCAACACACATGTTCACCACACACACTACTCATGCTCGTCACACACACTGCTCGCAGTGATATACATTTGTTCTCAAAAAAATTGTGTTTGAAAGTGGTGTGTGCATGTTAAAGAAAAGATTTACGGGCAGGAGCGTTCCACTAGAAAGGATGGGTTCTAGTCCTGATAGGGTGTTACTCCCCAAGCCATCATCATCTCTCATGCTCATGGTACGATCCAATTTTTTATGTCTGTGCATGAGTCTATTGTATCACTCCATCTCATATTAGAAGTGGAGACATGCTTTGGCAAAATTGTTCAGAGCAAAATTATTAATAAGTGTTTTGTTTTCTCGATTAGCTTGACCAGAGAGAGACAGGGGCATATAGAGACGTACATAAAACAAAACAAATTAACTCCATTTCGCTGTAAACAAATACACTGCCTTGTACTGCCATCTGCTGGCCACATAGCCAAACTAATTTTACTACGTCCTGAAGTCAGTCCGTTTCATGAGCAGATCTTGATTCCCTAATTTGACGTCTCACCCACCACCTCTGAGCTTGCTTCGTGAACAAGATTTAGTTTAAATAGGGGCCATAAGTCAGATTCCGTGGGGCGTGGTGCTGGAGTCAGCAACGACGTTGGTCCCATCGGCTCCAGTGAGTACCTCCTGCACGCAGGAGAGCCACGTTGGCAGCAGGACGGGGCAGGTAAGGTGGTCGGTGGTTGTGGGCAGCAGGTTTTAGGAAGGGAGAGTCAAATCCAATTGTGTTTTTGCTTAAACACTTGGCCACCTTACTAGCACATCTGCCACGCATTGAGCTAATTTCACAGTGGAATCGCAGCCAGCCAGGCCCAACGACGCATTTTGCCGATATACCGTCCCGCCACGTTCGAAACTGCAAGGCAACGATTGTGACCATGGAATTAAGCCCTCCCATCAGGCCCAGGATGCCACGTGCCATCACCACGCTGTGTATTGTATGCACGCATCCATGTTATTGACCAACTAAGGCAAAAATGGGGCTGTATCAGATAATTGGATAGCAGTTTCGTGCTTGTTAGGAATCGTCAGTTGCAGTAGAGCTATCATCACTGCTGCCTTGTGCCCTGGGGGCGCAGTCAGTGTGCGTCATACACGTAGTATGGTGAGGTTGCGTGGCATGCAAGGCATGACGGGCAGACCGATTACAATCGTGCATTTTGGTGTATATTAATGATCTTGTACGTGCATTGCATACTCGGTAAACATGCAACGTTGGGCCAACGGCATGTGGTTCCAACCCTACCGATTTAAGCGTTATGCTGCCAATGTTTTTACCGGGACACCAAATAACCGAATTTCGATATTCATCATTGCCCTTGTTAATGCGATCTTTGCTCTGATAATCAGTTTGTGGTAAAATTGTTTTTTTTTTTAAGTGCGACCTGCTGCTTACACTGGTAGGGTTCGCCGTATGGCTAGGTTTACATAGCATTTCACTTACCCAGTAAACACGCAATTCTGGGCCAACGTTGGTCCAACATCTTTTGGTCCAACGGTTCCACCCACGTGTCTTTGACCATATTGTTGCATGTTTGCTGAGTATCTGATGAGTTCCATTCGCATAAAGTTGCAATTGGTGTGCTGAATCCCAACCCTTGGCACGTGTTGTGTTTCGGGAGGCAAGTCGCACGCTACGCCGCCGTGCCTAAGCGCGTCCAGGAAGGCGTTTGCCACACGTTCCGCTTGCAGCCCACGCAACTTCCCCTTTTTTTTAACACGTTGAGAGTTTTTTTTGTGCCTATATGTTTTTCGCTGCCACTGCTGCCACGAGTCCCATTTATAGTCCTGCCTGCCAGCATAGCGATGTTGAGCAAGGAGGACTTACAGTGCGCGTGTCGGCAAGGATTGTAGTCCGACACCTTTCACCAATGATCCCCAATGTCGGTTAAACCCGTTTTGGCAAATGGCAGGTGAGCAGGGCCACACCACCGCACTGATGATCAATAATGATAAAAAAAAGTAAGCACATGTACGGCCCTTTAGTTAGTCCGCTGGTGGTTGAGCGCTTTCTCACGCTGTACGGGTCATGGAGGTCAAGTGATGAATTCGCCATTGCGGGTTCGTGAATTCATAAGACAGATGTGTCAGTATTATCCTGTGCTGACCATCACGTAGCCCTAACTGCATTCTGCCCATGACAACTTGGCGTGCATGACGGCCGCCCATCCGCCTCCTATCCATTCTTTAAATCCTGCTTAGCTTTATAGATCTGACGCACGGAGCGCATTCCAGGCTAATTGGTGATAGACGGAGGAATATGGGTTCCACTTAAACATGAATCTTAGTCCATCAGCCTATTGGGTTACCAGACTAATATCCAGTAAAATGTTTAAGCACGATCTCATGTAAAGTCAGGACTGTTAAACAAATGCTGCTCGGTTATTTGTTATTAGCAAGAGCACGTTATAAGGCAGAGCCCAGGCCAATCCAATAACAAAAACGCTGTTGTCGAGTCTTATGGGTAAACAAATAGCCCTGTCTTCTTTTGGGCTTTCTCAAACAATATTTTTGCAAAATATATATAAATTATATGCTCGTGTTACTTTGAGGCCAGTTGAAATAATTAAAATGTAGAAGCCAGGCACAATAAAATGAATGATATGAACGAAACATTCAAATAGGTTCTTATACAAGACAAAAAATAGGGTTTATAGTATTCTTGAATCTAAATGCAGTCCTGCTGAATCATGGCATTTAATCAAATTTAATGGCGGAAATTATTGTGACACTACTACGATGGAATACTCTACATATACTGGGAATTACACAACTTTTTGGAGGTTCTGAGCCAATGGTGGAAATTGCACATTCCTATGACAAGAGCGATGGCTCAGTGGTTAGTGGACTGCATCGTGAACTTGGCGATGTGAGTTTGGATTCCCAGCCATGGCTAACGGTGATTTGGAGTGATGCCTGTGAACTGGTTCTACCCCCCTCCCCTCTCCACCCTTCACCATCCTTCACCGATCACAGTGGTAATGTGTGAGCAAGTAACCCCTATGACGAACGTGGAGTGGCAAGGCCTTCAAAATGATTTTACAAAACGGTTACATATATGGAATACTCTTAACTCAACTGCCATCCTAGAAATAACACAATTTGCCTGAGTATATATTACAATCATTGAAAGTGGACTGTCATCAAAATTAAGTAAAGGGGTAAGTCAGAGCTGGTCGGAGTCCCTTTGGAAAATTTAAAATGGTAAAGAAAATCAGGACACCAATGAGGCCTAATAAGGGAGGCTTAATGCACGTTGGGTGACCATAACATATACAGCTCATAGAAAAGTTTTCAAGGAAGCATTGAGTGGTGCATGCTGGGAAATACGCTGAGAAAAATTACATTGAAATCTGAGACATCACAGTGACAAGAGAATAGAGCAGGACAGATTCCAAGAAGGGGTGAACTATCGGTGGCCAAGACTTTAACAAAAAAAAGCAGCCAAAGGAGAGAATGTGCATGACGAGAGGACGTCAACTGAGGGTCTGGTGCAATGAAATCAGCTGGTGTGCAGGAGTTCGATGGATTTGCTGAGGCTGTGAGAGATGGTGATGGCTTGAAGAGGAATTCGTCGAGCAGTGGATAGATTATGGCTGATGTGTGTTCATACCATCATTCTATACCATGTGCAGTTATTTAACATGCAGGTTCACACTTCAGTAATGTCAATTATGTTTTGTAATGCAAATTAAAATGTAATTATTTGAATATTTCAAGGGCAGGAAAATCGACGTGTTATTGACAGACTGGCCTTCATCACGAATAAACAAAGGTGATGGCGGTGATGTATCTTGCCATCGGCGAAATCCATACGATGGCAGTGTCCCCTTTTGCATGGTTCGTTTGTTGAGGTCAAGGCCTGTTAGTGACCACCTATTTAAGTCCACATTTATTAATTGTGCCCATGTGAAAGGGCCTTACAACAGGTCTTTCCATCATACGTGATCATCGTAATTAATATTTGTAATATGTACTGCTGGATGAAGGTCTCCCCACACGTGTCGGTTTTGTGGGTGGCTTGACCATTTATCACCACGCTGGTGAGTGTGGGTTGGTCAAGATGGTGACGGAGGGGCTGCTCTAAACAAGTTCAGATAGAATATAATGCTCCAACCGCCATATCAACTTCTCCGTACACCGCACTGAAGTATAATTAATACAGAATTCAACCATTTTCACACATCCAATTCTCATAAACCTTACAATACCACTATATATAAGTAATCTGTCATATCGCCCTCATATTCTTACAGCAGTATTCATCACATACATCCTCTTCCCGTAAACTATGCGCATTGTGAAAATGTATTAGGATATAAAACATGTTCTGAGGCCATACATAAACCCAGAAAAATAAAAGCGTGACTAAAGTCACAATTAAAGAAGTTCAATTATGATTTGAAGCTTTCGTGACTGCAGAAATTACTGTTTGGTTCCGTTGGTAAAGTCACGTAGATAGGAAATAAATTAAATAATAGAATAGGACATTTCGATTGCAACACAAGCAGTCGTCATCAGGTAGAACTAACTATGAGAGAGACAAAACACGGAGACACAGACACACAAGCAGAGAGAGACCCAATGCCTCTGTCGTAGCCTTAAAAACCAGGTTCGGGTACCACTTGCCTCGCTAGTGCTGTGCGCGCGTGCATCTTGGTCAGCGATTGAACCCAGGTAACTGAGATCGTAACGCAGTGCAGATTTCACCGTGCGCACGAGTCGAACCCCAGCGCTACGAAGCAGGCCAGTACAGGGTGGTCCACATGTGTTGTGATCCCCCCCCACCCGCAATTATTTGACCTCCCTGTACATTAAAGCAGGACAGCAAGCGAGATTTGGACCTATCTGAATGGCGGATTCTTGAGTGGGATGTCCACCCTCGTTTTTTCCAATCGCTCCAGTTTCCTTTCACGCGAAACAAGAAGACCCATGCAAGGAATTGCCCCAGCATCGCAAGCAGCGGGAAACCCGCCCTCACCCCTCTGAAATCAGTATCCTGAGGCTCGGCAAATCTTTGCTGGGTGAAGTACAAGACCCGGAGTGTACAGTTATTGTAAATATGCAAATAGAGGCGTAAAGATGTTGCAGGGCAAAATTACACCGCTTGTGCAAGAGTCAACAGAGCAATTTAACAAGTAAGCATTCGCAACCAATATCATCCATAAGAGGTTTTTTTGGGTTAGATCGCGTAAATATATAAATGTGTCGTTAAAACCCGCCACCAACCGACACAGCCAACTAGTAAGGGTTGTCACGTAAACAGAACATGCCAAGCCACAACATTTAGATTGTAAATGTTGTGGCTTGGCTCTCCAACACCCCTTACTAGTTGACAGCCAACTAGTGAGGGTTATCACGTAAACAGAACGTGGCCAATTCGTCACTCATACAGCACACCGGTGTGTTGGAGAGCCAAGCCACAACATTTACAATCTGAGTACGACGTTTCGCCAGTAATTACAACTAGCTTCATCAGGCGACAGCCAGATTTGTTGAGAAGTCCACCTGTTTCGTTTATGAGATGATGCTTCACTGCGCTGGTCAATGCGAGTTTGTGAAGGTTGGGGGGAGTAACAGAACAATGGATTGTTTTTTTGTTATTTTGCACAGTCTCCTCTCCCCCACCCACTGCCCACAGCGCAAATTACTGCTGCCGTTTGCGCATGGCGGTCACTCATCCAAGCACCACCCAGGCTCAACCCCTGCTTAGCTTCCGACCTCCGACGGGATCGTGCGCATTTTCTCGTCAAGGAGAATAAACCATTGTCACGCGAACTCCGGTCGTCATCCTCGCAGCGGCGGCTTGTGGCTGGCCGTCGAACAAAGACGGCGGTCACCGCATCGCGCGGCGCTTTCAGATGCGCTTCTGCGGCCGTCTGGAATGCTCTTCTTTCCGATATTAGGAAGCCACTGGAGATGTGCAATTTTTAACCATCTAGATTGTCAAACTCGTTTCTTTACAACTGCTTTTTGTGTTGAGTTTTTTGTCCTTCCCACGCACCTCCGATTAGCACGTTTGGCTATGTACGGTGCGAAATAAGTTCAACATACACACACATACATACACAGCGCCCTCTAGTGAGTGTATCATTGGTACTCCATTTATCATCCCCAGAAGGATGATAAGCTGATTGTCATGATCGTAAATATAGGATGAGATTTGAGGCTCCGAGGGCTACAATTTGCTGATGAGCCCCAATAGTTGGTTGGCAGTACGGTATATAGAGTACTGTAATGTAACTGCATGTAATGTGACAGCTTCAACTTTAATTTCTCGGAATATGTAATGTGATTTACCGACAGTACTGCAGTGTACCGACAGTACACCACAGTACGATACTGTGATGTGCCGATAGTGCACTGCAGGACGCTCATGTTAAGGCACTACGGCAGACTACTGCAATGTAGCGACAGTAACACGCTGCGTGGCTCGTTAATTATTAATTATTAATTAACGAGCCACGCGGAGGGGGGTGGAGGGGGGGGGGGCGGAGGGGGTTGGAGGAGGGGGGGGGCGGAGGGGTTGGAGGGGTTGGAGGAGGGGGGGTTGAAGGGGGTGGTCAGGGGGGTTGGAGGGGTAGGAGGGGGGGCGGAGGGGGGGTTGGAGGGGGGTTGGAGGGAGGGGGGGTTAGAGGGGGGTTAGAGGGTTAGAGGGGGGTTGGAGGGGGGTTGGAGGGAGGGGGGACTTCCTCGTTGCTTCCAGCGCTGCGCTGCTGGGGCTCTCTCACTCCACCTGCGTGTGGCCCGCTCAGGCTGCTCTGCTGTGTCTCTCCGTTTCACTTTACCTGTGACTCATTTCTCTCTGTCGCTGTGTATTTACGCGCGTGTGTGTCTCACTGTGTAACTTTCTCCGCCTTGGTCTAACTCTTGTCTGCCTGTGTCCGAACGGTGAGTTCGCCAGCGCATGCGGTTGATGGTTCCACTTGTGACCGAGACTGGCTGTGAGCCTGCGATTTCGACCGCCAATTTGTCCGACCCTGTGGTTGTACCTGACGTGACTGCTTTGCTGTGCAATCTGTGCGAGTCCGGTTGTGACTCATTGTAACCTGTAAGAGTCTGTGGATATGTGCGAGTGAGAGAGAAGTGTGTATGGTACAGGTGTGTGTGTGTGAGTTACGTGTGTGTTCGTTGTTGTGAGTCCACACCGCACACCGTTTGGGAAGAGAGGAGCGATGCCGAGGTGATTATAGCAGCGATGAACGGCAGGTAAGACTCACCGGCACACACACGCACATGGACACACACCTACACACTCACGTGTATACAAACTCACCTGTACACACACACACACACACCTATACAAACTACCCTGCTCACACATCTGTAGACACACATGTATACAAAGATACCTGTACAAAAGCTGTCCCGCAGACTCGCATGTATACAAACTCATCTGTAAACAGAGTGACCCGTACACTCACATGTATACACAACACCTGTACACAAGCTCACGTGTAAACACACTTATTTGTACACACTCGTACGTACACTCGACATGTGTAAACAACGGGCGCCTTTCAACCCACTAATTGGCGGCGATATCACCAGCAGTGGATAGAGCGTGTTAGGTTAATCTCGGGAGATGATTAATCAATCCACTGCTAAATGAAGGCGCCTTAACGCCTACCTAGAGAGAAGTTTTCAAGCACGTCGTCTTCACGTTGCGCAGATTAAAATTCGGCATAAGGCGGGATAAACTTCATGGCGATTTATTAAATTGAAAGACGAATGACCGTGCGTGTTGTGTACGATGATAATAATCATCATCATCGCAATCTGACGCACGTGAGCTGATCTCATCCGGCGCTTTGTCAACCCGCTCCTGGATGACGGCACGCGCACGCCGTGGTGGTGGTGGTGGTTGTTGGTGGTGGTCATGGAGGTCGTTTGCCCATAACTTCACCACGTTGGTCGGGACGGGTTCTCTTGATCCACACGTGGAAATTATTTGCTCAATGCTGCAAGTGCGTTGGCAGTGGTGCGCAATCGCAAACAACAGTCGTCAACCACGTTAGTCAATTAGGGGTTAGCCATGTTCTATGAATCAGGGCCATGTCCTGAAACGTCGGCTGTTATTTAAGGCCACACTTTTAATCTAGATTTGAAGTTTTCGTGACTGCAGCGATCCATACTCTTTGGTTCTTTTGGTAAAGTCACGTAGGTATGAAATACATTAAATCACGACGTTTCGGGCGCAACACCAAGCGTCAAGAGGCCATATAGGCCTAGATGGCCTCTTGTCGCAGCAGCCCTTTTGTCCGCTTCAGCAATTGTTTCTTGCTGTGGTTATCCCACCTGATGACGGACGCTTGTGTTGCGCCCGAAACGTCGTGATTAAATTTATTTTATTTTATACCTACGTGACTTTACCGAAAGAACCAAAGAGTATGGACCACACTTTTATTCACATGTTTTTTTTGTGGGGGGCGGGGGGGGGGTTCATTTATGTATACGCCACTGATGGCGAGCCCTTGCATTGATCCCGGGTGGCATTAATCACTGCGCCACAGTTCCCAATCAAATGTTGCTACGTCGTTCTAGAGACGTCTACGACTGGTGTAATACAAACAACCTTACAGCAACAACACTCGCGTGTTTACCCTGTTCCAACAATACAACAACACACTGCGTACACAACGCGTGCACGTGCGTCGAATGGATAAGCGCTCTGACATCATAGGGGCCGTCCATAAATGGGGGGGGTTCAGACATTTGTGACGATGTGTGACGAGGGGGGGGGGGTTTGAGAAATGACGTCACATCAAAATGAGAAATGTGACGTCACATCAAAATGCGCAACTTTAAATAGA